ATGTTATCCCTTGACATTATATTTCGAATTGTGATATTATGAAATTGATATTATGAAATAAATGATTATATTCTATTTGAAGGCGTTGATTGGCTGTTAACCGAAAATAGGCCAGAACACCATCTACTGACAGAAATTTTCAGTATTTGGTGACCACTCTTTATTGATATGAAACTCAAAATAACTGGGTCAGGTTCTAGTAGATACAAAACACAGGATACAAATTGGAAGACGAAAAATAGCCTCTTCCTAAACATGTTACAATATAAAAGTCCACTTATTTAGTAGATGGCGATTGTACTCATGACAAGTTTTTTATTTCACAAAAATAAGTTACAAAATTGTGCTCGGGCTCTCGGCCATTTGAGTTGACTACGGCAAAATGACAAACAGACAGGCAGAATTATTCGCGAGTTTAAAATTACTAACGTTTCTGCTACCATAAGTACGTGTACAGATGTAGTGAATAGGCATTGAAAATCAGGAAAACTCGAAAACCACGAAAATTTCCGAACGCTGTTTTTTTTATAATATAAAGTGACGGGACGAACAAGTCGTGCACCTGATGGTAAGCGACACGCCTGTCCATAACAGTTGCAGTGCCACTCAGAGCTTCAAATCGCAAAGATCTGAGGGGCACTGCCACTGCGCCCGTCACCCTGAGACATAAGTTGACAAGTCCCATGTGCCTGTAATTTCACCAATTCGCTGTTGCTGCGTCTATAAGCTATCGAATAAATGAACGTTGACTAATAAAGTTTCGTATTTAAATATCATAAATACATCAATCACTAATACGATATCATAAACTCGGCAACAACATTCGAGATTTATTGTGGTTTCCGGATTTCCCCGATGTTGAAAATCTATTCACTACATCTGTCTTGTCTTAGCAATCTGTAAATTTCAGCTTCACTGGAATCTGTAACCCACTTGTGGCAATTAAGCCAAATCTCCTTTATTCTAGTAGCGGTTTATCCGTATATTATTATCAAAGATTGATAAATATTTTACTGATTTTTACTTTACCTATATTAGAAAAAGCAACCACACGCGACCTAATTTTAAGCCATATACATGTACGAAGAAAAGCGATATCCATATTATTATTATTTAAAATTGCACACCGATTGCAAAGCGAACGTCCATTAAAACCAATAGCACCTGCCAATTTATTTATTAAACTGATTGACCATTTTTGTTTAAAATAATGGCGCCGTATTTTTTGAAAATAACTTTTATCCTCTTACTATAACTTTCTTAAATAAAAAGCAAAACTTTTCTTGGGTTTTTTTATTTCCGAAATTCATATAAAAAATTGATCGTGATAATTCATGTCAGTGGTTCGTGGTTTAAGATACTTTATGGTCTTTTTTTGAGATAATATGCAATTTCATAATGCATGAATTTGTCCACGTTATAATTTCGCTATAAGCTACTTATTTGCCAATATTTTATTTGTTAACGAAAAATTTAATAAATTCATTGCTGTTCAGCTATCACTGATTATATGATAGTGTTGAGGATAAAAGATATTCTGTTCAATAATAAAAATAATAATACTCAATATAAAATTATTTTTATATGATTAAAAAATAAAATTTGTAGCACATAAAATTTTGCACATTGCATTACACTTTGTCACAAACTTATTTTTGCACAAAAATAGTATTATTTTATAATAGTGAAATTTATTAATTAACGAAAGGTACTTTTCAACGCCACTCGCTAACGTACAAAAAATGTCATCTTTTAAATTAATAGTCATTTCGTGAAAAGGAGAATAAAGACTTGACAAAGCAGCTATTTGATAAAAAATATGTCAGATACGTCTCTTTGTCGAGACCTATGGCCAACAACGAATTATTACTATAGGTTAATATATCGTACCTCCGGTGAAACACAGCCTTAACAGCTAAAATTTGTGATCCCAAACCATGTTTAAAATGCAATTTATACGGAAAAACAGAGACGTTTTGAAATAGTATAACATTTAAGAGCTCTTCAAATGTGCTCAGTAACCCCTAATACAAAACTTTTAGTTCATTTTCTGTAAATTTAAAAAATGTAAATTAAGCCATTGTTTCGCCAGAGGTGTGGTATGTGTAAATGTCACAAGAGTCGCGTGTTATAGAAAAGTACCTTATTAGCACTACTTCTATGGGGACGATTGTAATTCATATTATTCTAGAACTTACATGGTGTAATTAAGCAGAGAGATACCTTATTTACGTCACTCGGAAAAATGGATTGAAATCCATATCACCCTTTAAAATATAATTGTTCCCCGTTTGGGGGGACGGGATTATCCCGAATAAGGGGTAATTAAATTGAAAGGGCTACACACATAGTAACCACTTCTAAGAGAATTATTATTAATGATTAAGAAATGGGTAGGCCGGGGCGTTGTTTTTTTGGTACTAACAAAGTGACGTAAAAATATATTAAGTTACACATAATTAACTTAATTTTATCGTACCTAGAAATTAAGTTACAGGATTACAGACACGACGCACCGAATGAAGGGATCACCGCATTTTTAGAAAGAGGTTTACCAGGCCAGTTTTTGACTATTATGACCTAGCACCCATTTCAGAAACCGTACTCGTGGCGGTTTAGGTGATTTAAAAAAAAATTTAATTCGTCTGTTTAGTTCAGGGCACGAGAAAGTAGTCATATGCATATGTATATGAAATTTAACAGCAAAAACCGCTAAACCAACTATTTACAAATTTAATAAAAAATAATAATTGATCGCATAAAAATGTCTCTACTTAAAAAAATAAAAGACTACTCTATGTAGCGTCAGTATAAAAACAATTATATTCTCTATGGCAAATTGTACTTATTTATCACCATTTACAAAAAAAGTATTCATTTACACAAGGGGAGTCGGGAGGAAGGTCTGGGATAATATTGAGGTACCACGATCAAGAGTAGAAACTCCCGATTTACAGCATAGCTATTGCCTCTCTTGGGTACCTTCCAACTTCCACAAGACAGGCAATGCCGGTACCTCTTAGGATTTAATGCAGGGATTAAAATTCTTTGGTAAACCTATATACCAAATATTAAAATTAAAAAATAAATTAAGCAATTTTAATTAAATAATATTCTAGAGCATAACATTTTTGTTATAAGATGTCACATAAAGGCTCACATGTTACTTTAGACAGTAGACGGCAGTAATTCTTTATAATGCTGTCTTTGATAACTGTAATGTCACAATTATACTCGAGAACATTAAATAATTAAAAGAAATAATAAAGGATAATGAAGCTAAAATATTAATTAAGAAATACGCCAAATAATTATATTTAAATATAGGAAACACTTGAGTATTATATGTTTCACAACATGTAAGGCCGTTTTTATATTAAAGTACAGTCGTCGACATATTAAGTGACGCTTTACCACCGTAATAACGATGGTTGGCATACAGTAGCACAAAATAAGTACTTGCATCATGTCGTCCTTAAGTAAGAATGAATTAAAGGTGTAGTGTAGTACTACTGCAATTCCATAGTTATTGTATTAATGTGTAATGTATTTACGAGAATAGCGTTCGGAAATATTGAGGTTTCCGACTTTTCTGTTCAATGTGTATTGTATGTGATTCACTACACTACCATGTCAAAACACTATGAATCCCTGTACGGTGTTTTGTAATTTCCTTACAACAAGAAGCTTGGCGGCTATCAATGCAAAACAAATTTATTACTTTTGCATTTATAGCTTATTTTGCAAAATACAATAATATTGGGTAGATAGAACGATAAGTTTTAGTAGCAGTATACGAGTAGCTCCGTGTGAAAATGGAATTTATTATTTCATCGAATCGTTTGAGAAAAGTACTATATATACCTCGGCGGGAATGGAATGCCTGACTCGTACTTTTAATAGTTTCGAGTGTATAGTCATACTCGACCGGCAATCCCTTATTATAGCAGTAGAGCTCGTTGTAGTAGCAGTAGAGCTCCTTGTCAAAGAGTTCGTCCAAAGAAGTACTGCCACGATACCTCAGATTTTTGCGATTTAAAGCTCTGAGTGGCACTGTAACAGACGTGTCGCTTACCATCTGGGGCACGACTTGTCCGTCACGTCATTTAGTATCATAAAATAATAATAATAATAATATATAACGTACTAAGTAAGTTACGTGCAATTTTTTTTGTTATTTACTTGAAAAAGAACAAAACCTAGAAAAATCCTTGTTGAAGCCTTTCCTTAAAATGCTACTTTTGATATTACGGTGTTGGTTTGACACGGTAGTATATCTGTGTTTACTTATGATACTTACAAAATTATACGTCATATATACCGTCAATTCGTGCTAAAATGGACACACGATAGAGAAGATGATAATGGTTCAGTAATTTACCCAACCAGCATTTATGCTGCTTGGTGGGCCATAGGAAAAAACCAGTGCCGAAGAGGGGAAATATGATTTTGAACAAAATACTCAATATGCCACCGTCTGTACTTGTGTAAGCACACTTTTTTTAATTATTTTTCGTACATCACCATTCGTAAATCTAATGGACTGGTCATTATCCAAACAATTTCTTTACATTTCATTTTTACAGCATTCACTACTACCTGCTACCTAATTTTGTCAATTTTCAATTCTATGATGAAAATAATAAGATTGACAAGTATAGCGAGTGCTTTGTGCATATAATTCACACATTCGGATTTCAATTATTTTTTTTTTAATTATGTTATCGCACTAGATACATACTATCTAAGACAGATTAAAATGACTTCGATATATAGAGTTAAATTTTATTAGTGTATACTATATTCTAACAGGCGTTGTATGATAGACAACTGACAAAACTTTCAAACAGAGAATACCGGATTTCGTTTCTACGAAACCAACAACATGTAGCCTAGGTATCGACAACATACTATTAAAATTTGAAAGTTGTAGTGTAGAGTATTTCAGACAAGGCTCGTTATGGTTCCCAGTTTTAAGTGCATTTTTTTAAATTATATTTTTAGATCTACTGTATACATTTTGCTTGCAACTAAAAACAAATAAACAACAACGTGTCTTGTAGTTTCAGCTGATATTTCCTTGTTTAAGGTCAACTATTTAATGTAAGAATCAATCAATTACTTGTCAAAATACAGTACACGAATAAAGTCTGTTATAATTACGACTGCGGCCGGAATCACTAAAAAAATTTAAATTCCGGCTCTTAATGAAAAAAAAACATCAATACAATAAAATGTATCGCCCTTACCTATACAAGCAATTATGACCATCACGGCGTATTTTAAATTTTATTCACTGAAGTATACAGTTGTTTTTCCTTTGTATTTCTACTTGTGATAGATTATGTTCTATCTCCGCGTCATCTGCTATCCTGTGAACAAGTTTATTTTATCATAAAAAGGCTGTTTTGGGTTCTGGAGTCATTGCACTTTTGACATCAATGTTTATGTTGTCGCTACAAGAAAGCAATTCTTTTATCATCATTAGTCCATAATACGTAATAACGGTCACGAGCGCCTGTAAAGAAAGGGTTTATATTATAGCATGGACGAAAAAGTCAAGAGGATCGCCAATTGCGATACAAGACAGCGTAGACGGGTATTTAGTACTTACTCGTACACCAGATGTCGCGATGAGTACCAAATATCTACTTTTGTAACTAATTTGTTTTACATTGACAAGCTGCAATTTATCAAAGCCACTCTAATTTCTAGTGATAACTAACCAATAACTAGATGATGCTTATTAGTGCCAGCAATCCATATTGACTAGGATTAGCGCAATCTATCCGTATTAGGAAGCGTTAATTTATAAATTAGTTTGTAACGTACAATGCCATCTATTGACACGATAATTTTATATGATGGTCAATATTTGAACGTCACAAGACAAAAACTGACTTTTTTTTAATATTAATGGCCTTACCTTCGCATTTAGCCAATGAAAGGGTTTTGAAAGCTGAATTACAGATTATGGAAGAGGTACGGAACTTGGATGAAAAAGGATTGGGAAGATGGGTAGTTGTTATAACATCGGCATACGTATTAAAGCTTGATATTATTATTTTCAATAAATAAGGCCAGAATATTGTAAACATTTTTCTTGCATAAATATATAAACTTGTTATGGATGTGGGGAATGGGACACTGATTGCCAGGAGTTCGGAAATGAAAGTATCGTGGTCAATTGAGGGGCAGGAGAAGAAGATATGATTTAGATCCCCATGGGCCCAAAATGAGCATGCAGGGTCAGAAACAATTTTGAGTTTGAACAGGTGGGCAAGAGTTGTCACGTGACCAAGTCGTAGTCTACAAATAATGGAGGTAGTTTTTTGTTAAATTTCATCTTGCTGAACCATGGCTTGCGAGAGATAAACTCTTGAGTCAAGCGAGTAGTGCTTCCCTTTGGAGGCATCTGCCATCCAGTTTCTATTCTAGTTATATTCCATATTAAAGAGAAATTAATTGACATCCACGATCATTTACATAATATAAACTATTTCCAAGTTATTGATCAGCGCGATCTGGATATCACGACGGAATTTTTGCCTTTTTCAAAGTTATCATCTGCAGTATGGAGATTATCAGTCCTCTTGTGTTATTGGTTATAGTTTGTTTTCCAACGTTTGTAAACCGTTTTCTACGCGCAGGTTTTTTCCATAGCCATGTTTTCCCTTGCCGTTAACGAGAGCTTAAATTTAGGCAAATATGAATTTTGAAACTAAAGTCATACGTATGTGTCGCTACAGGGACTCGTATTGTCAATATCTCAATTGAGAACCAACCGTTCTTATATTGGGCTGCCGACGGCAGAGTCCAAATTCAAATTGTCAGCCTTTAAACATGGCGTTATCGATTTAACTAAAATCATTTGATCGGTTTCGAATTATTTACATGGTACATAATAGAAGATTGCTTTGTTTTAAAGGCAAAGGAAAATATAATGGGTCTACCTGTTAAGTTAAAAGCTCTTCGAAACATATCTGTCTTCCTTGTCATAACTAACGCATTCGCATTTTGGTAAGTTTCGAGATGTCAGTATCTTTTACCCAAATGTTTTTTTATTAACAACCCTGTAACTAGATAAGATATAAAAAACCGGTTATAGGGGATTGTAGATCTTTTTTCGCTGGTTCCAGATATGTTAATAACTTACGAAATGTCGGTTACGTTAGTTATGATCAATGGTTGGAAAAAGGTGTTCCACATATATAGATAAAGCTACAAGGAGCGACATAGAGTTGTTGAAATCACCAAATATTGATTAATTATTTTTTCGAATTCCGGATTTCCGGAATTGGTTTCATTGCATTGTAAGCCAAAACTACTGACCTAGGAAGCCGAAGTTAGGTTTTTTAAAGTATTTCTAAAAACAGAGAATAAAAAAGTAACGAGAACGGTTACTCTCCGCCCCTCCCTAGCTTTAGATACCGCACGCGCTCGGCATATCAGGAACGGCAACAGGGCTGTCAGTTATCTACTGCATTTTTTTTTACATGTCACCATTAGTTACCTTAAAAATCTATCTTCGACTTCCTATGTCAGTAGTTTGTTCTTTGATGTAGTAAAACCATTTGCGGAAATCCGGAATTGGAAAAAGTAATTAATTAATATTTGGTAGTTTTAACAACTGTACGTCGTTCCTCGTAGCTACGTCTAGGACACGTATCTATAAATGTGGAACACTCTTCTTCGACCATCTGTCGGACGTTCGCGGCGTCGGCAGCAGACTATCTCCACTTGAGCCGCGAGACTTTTACGGGTTTTGAAAGAAACGCCTGTACATACGCTCTCTCCTGCTCGTCCATCTCCTGCACCAGCCGGTCCCGCTCGTTGACGGCCGAGAGCAGCTCCTGCAACAGAGCGCCGGTCAGTCCCGTCTTTGCTCTTGCCCGCAGGCAAGGCTCAAGGCAGGATTTTACCCACCTGCAGCAGCAGGCGCTCGCGGCGCTTCTGCTGCGGCGTCTTGCGCCACTCGTCCACGCCCAGCGACAGGCGCAGCTCGCGCGCCAGCAGCTCGCAGCGCCGGCTCAGGTCCTCCTCCTGCTCGCTGGAAACGGCCGGCTCATTTTCAGAACCATTCACACAGCGGGCGTTTTTCCAGAAAAATTCCCAACAATTTTAAAAATATACTTTACAACTATCTTTTTGACTTTTATTTAGCGTGTATTATAAAATACCTAAAAGCCACCTAAAGAAAAATAAGATTTAAAATTAAATCACAACAGCGAAAAAAACCTTTCTGTTGGCTCCATCGTTTTCGTTCAGTAACTTCAAAAGCAGTAATAACATTTTTCGTCCTCCGAGACAGGCTAAGGCGTCTGTCTAGCCATTCTGCCAAATCTTAGATTACAATTTTTCCTCAACGTTTGGTTCTATTAAGGCGAAATCTCCTATCCAAATCTTCAGTATGTGGATGCGATTACTGGCAGGGCGTACCGTAATTTAGGGTTTATGATGCGCACATGTCAACCCTTCAGGAACTTGACTAGTTACAAAGTTGTATATTTCGCTTACGTGAGGTGTTTATTGGAATATGCCTGTCCGATTTGGTCACCATCCTACGCTGTACACGTGAAACGCATTGAGCGCATTCAGAAAAAAATGTTATCGTACTTAAACTACAGACTGTATATTTGAAAGTGAGACATACTTATAGAGTGCGTTATATTCCTGATTCTGAACCCAAAGAAATAATAAACTAAGGAACTTAACCTTTATAAAAATTTTTTTTTACTTTTTTTTATCGACTACTACTTGTGAACAACATTAGTCATCAAAATCTATGCACATCACTATTATTGCTCCGACGCAGCAGCGGGCGGCGGCATGGCTTTGTTCTCTCGCACGGCAGCGAAAAACAAAGCACAGGTCGGGGGTGGGGGCGCGGGCGCATACGCGAAATTGCTGTTTGCAGAGACAGTGCACGCGCAACCTTGGTCTAACGAAGACACATAAATTATTTGTACTTCTATTTATTCTAACGTCGAATTGACTGAGATAGTGTCACGCAGTTACGCAATAAATGGTGATGGTGCGAGGCAAGCTATTGAAATGTTCAGAGAAATATTCCCAAATTGGAGTTTACGCGGAGGAGGTAAACAGTGTCGAAGTGTTGCGTGAGAGGATTATTTCAGCATTTTATACTGTGAGACAAAATGTGTTTGTGCTGAACAATTTAAAACAAAATTTACTATGCCGTGTTAGACTATACATTGTGGAAAACGGTGGACATTTTGAACACTTGCTCCGTACCAAGTAAGTGTAAATCAACTGTAAATAACTAAAAAATCAATCATTGTAAATAACTTGATTTCACATTTTTAACTACGCCAAAAACCTCAATTCTTATTAAATGTTAACTAGTTACTAAATTATAAACTTATCTTTTTAGTACGTAAACCATTTCGATGATAGTTCAAGTAAAACATAATTAACATAAGCTAAAAAAGTAATCATTTTGATAACAGCTTTTTCCAGCATAACATAAATGAGTAGGTGAGTAACTTAGCTTTTATTTTCTAGAGAAATGAGGTGCTTTGTCGGTCCCAAGCCCGCGAAAAAGTAGGAAGGGAGATGTGAAATAATTGTTATTGTTGCTGTCTCACTCGACCCTCGCTTGGTAGTATTCCCATTGCACTCGAAATCAAGCGAATCGGTTTATTCCTATGTACACTTTAAAATACATTTGTTGATTTATTTTTTGTTCTATCCCACATCCTAATTTTATTTTAGTCTATGTTATGTTGTAACAGGATTTACTATTACATGTATGAATATGTCTCACTTTCAAATATACATCCAGTATAAATTTTGTAGAACTAGTCGGTCATATGTCGAAAACTGCAGACATTATGGACTGCTAACTCTGGAAGAAAGGCGTATGGTGATGGACATGGATCTTCTTTTTACCAGTCATGTTACGAGGGCGGCTCGATTGCCCTGAACTCCTATCTAAGATCTCACTCTCCACACCGAAGCGCAGGACCAGGCATACATCACTATTTTCTGTTCCTATTCATTCTACAAATTATGGCATGAATTGTGTTCTAACGCGAATCATGCGTCATCAATCATGTCTCAATCGAAAATTTTATGGACTGGATCCGTTTGTTGGATCAAAGCACACTTTTGAAAGGAAATTGGAAACAATCTTATTGGAAAATATTTGAAATTAACTGAAATTTAAAGGAGATCCGCCAAATCCCATACAAAATTACCCCAGGCCCGGCGCCAAAATAATGTAACTCAATTTTTAGAGTAAAAATAGCAAAAATATTATATAGTTTCGGTATTGCTAAATTCACATGCTAACATTGTCTTTTTGCCCGTTGAATTTTAATAGGGGCTCTTTGTAAAATTATATTTTTTTAGAGAAACGTCGTCATTTTTAGTTCATTAATCTTGTAATTAGTCATTATGGCATATAAGCATGTATGTACTGTACTGTGAACTATGAAAAAATAAATTAGATGTTCGAAACTATGTGTAAAATAAAACACTTAGTATGGTTATAAAATAATATATATTTTCATTTTCTCGACAGAATATATGTTTGATGGACTTAGTTTTCTAAATCAACTAATACAAAATCTAAGCCTAGAGCTGGGTGGTCTAAATCACGTTCATTGTGTCTAGCCCAACCCAAATAGTACATGACGCTTATTACATGGGCGCAACTTCCCAGTGTTCTGTTCCCGTGATAACAGGAACAGTAATGTTCTTTCACTGCCTCGATTCCAAAAACCGCAGTATTAAATAACAAATAGGTATAATAAGTTTTTGATCTGACATGACGTGAATTAATTCTGCAGCGAATCAGTACGTTGTTTGTATGCGACTGTGACCTTATAACTCGATCATTTATTATATCTATTTGTTCTGAGTGTCTGTAAACCTCGATTTCATATACGCCAGTTCTCTTCGTGTGTTCGCTGCAGTACGAACGTGCTATTTTGAGGTGATATGTGCCTATAGCGAATTTTATCAGATCTTCGTACGTCAGCTTCGGAAAATCTGATACTTCTGGATTGTTTGCGTCCAATCTAGTAAATGATGCTCTTTGCCTGTTCAAGTTGTTTTCTAAAACATACGCGGCCAACAGATTTGTTTTATGTATGTTGCGGTTTATTGATGCAATAAAATCATCAGTAAATCTACTGTCTTCGTAAGGCTCCTGAAAGCAGTTTATCAAAGCCGCTGCTATTTTGAAATCTGTGAATGTTTTCGTCAAGGTATTGTTAAACATTCTGTTGCGGAAGATTTTAAAGCTATTTTTAAACTTGCCATTCACAGTTTCTACAACCCAACGACACATGGTTATTAGTCGTGATTTGTTGGCCTCTTCTGTAGTGAGTTGAGTTTCATTTAATAATAATAATATGATTGATATACATGCTTATATGCCATAATTATTTATTACAATGTTAATGAACTAAAAAGGACGACGCTTCTGTAATAAATAGAATTTTTCATAAAGCGCCTATGAAAATTCAACAGGCAAAAAAACTATGTTAGCATGTGAATTTAGCAATACCGAAACCATATAATATTATTGCTATTTTTACTCTAAAAACTGAGTTACATTATTTTGGCGCCGGGCCTGGGGTCATTTTGGCGGATCTCCTTTGAATACAATGCGGTGTACCACTTACAGAACTGGTTTATTTTTCTTGTTTCGTGCTTTTTATTTAATAACTTTTTTGAATGCATGCTTTTTTGCAAGATTAGCACTCTCACTTTTTTTGCTATGCTTATTATTGTAATTGTGTTCTTTTTTTTTTCATTTCTAGAAAAATATCCAGAAAATACCTATTTTCTGAAGAATATGATTTTTTTTAAATGGCAATTTTTCCATGACCCCCAACACTAACGAGGACCTCTAGACGTATCTCGCACGTACCTCCCGAATTATACGTGAGCAAAATATTATTTTAAAACGAGATAAAAAGGAAAAATTCAAACCTGAATACTATAATTTGAAGCTATTCAGAGCTAGAATAAATATACGAACTTTAAAGTATACAAAACTGTCGGTAAACATTAGGTGAGGCAGCAATTTAAGTCTCTATCGGAAACGGAATACTTCTTTTAAAATGGATATTCAGTACTTACAGTATATTAAGTTGCATTTGCCGCCGTATAAGTGCGTTCTTCTTGTTGACTAAGTTGAACCATTGAGACATCAGTCTGTCTTCCTCCTGTGTAACATTTCCATATGTTAGAAAGGGACGACAATATTATAACCTGGCCGTTCGGCCACTTCGAATTTACTGAAGATATAATAACACGAGTGCGTTTAATATAAAAATGCTTGAATTAAACAACGGCACTTGAAATTTTATAACCAATTATGGAGTGGATCAAACTATTTTTTATTTTATCGTTTTAAAAGTGCACACTTTTAAAACGATAAAATAAAAAAATAGTTTCATAAAAATCCTAAAAAAATGGAGAATCTAAATCAAATACTCCACCTTTTTAGAAAAAGTTTGTAGTACGATTAAAAGCGCATCAAACTTGACACTTAGAACTGTTCTTATGATAAACGGCCTTTTGTCGTCCTACATTATTGTTTAACAAAATGGCGAACAATAAAATACATAAAGGACAAAAGGGATAGGAAGGGACAAGAGGGGATAGGTACCGGATCACGAGGTGTAGACACACAGACGAGCAGAACATATCGCCATTTATTACTCTGAAAGCAAAAGATGTGATTTGGAGGCGGTAAGGAAGACTGTATTTTTTGTGATTTTGATTGCGTGTCGAGTTTTGTGTTTTTGATCGTTTTTAGATCAACCAATCGTTTTTCGGTCAATTCTTTTAGCACTTGTTGGCACTGGCGTGCATACTAAAATCGTGTTTTTTTTGTTTTTTTTCAGAGAACCGTTGATGCGTACCGTCGGTACGTATCAGTGTTACCAGCGGTCGGATTCTCTAAGCAGTGCCCGCCTAGACAGGACGAGCTTGGAGAGAAGAGTACTGCAATCACATTCGGACAGTGGAGGCGAGTCCCCACCTGCGTGTTGTCGGCCTGCTCCATGACGCGGCGCAGCTGCTTCTCCAGCGCCGCGGCGCGCTCGTCGATGGCCTTCTGCTCGCGCTCCAGCGCCTCCAGCTCGCTCTGGATGTACGAGCCCGTCTCCTTGCCCTGCGGCAGAAGCACCGTCAGCAGGCAGTTACATATTACGAAAATATATGCGGGCTTGGCACGAATGGATATCCGAACGTAGTGGGAGGTAAGATGATATATGTACATAAGCACTATCCGAATGGGCTAACGAGTGAGACGGTTTGAGTGAATGTTTAAATCAAAAATGAGTGAAGATGTGTACTTGGAACGAGAAGACGGATGAAGAAGGACGTGTGCTAAGCTAATTGTAAAAAGGTTTAAGTTTCTTAATTTTTTTATGTAAAACACGTTTAACAAATAAAAGGTTTCTTTTCACAATTTTTGGTCATAATTGAAGTCTCCTGATCCCCACATATATTAAAATATATAATAATAATAATACATAAAATTTATGTTATAAAAACGTCGAATAGTTGGTTTATTCGCTAAATGAATGACTATAGTTATTATTATCCTAGAGCGGGTAACATCGAATGGAGTTGTAGGGAAATAGTAATGAAAAGCAAAGGGATCTATTTTATAAATAAAAACTATCTCTAACAACTAAACAATCTAGACACCATTTTGTATGCGTGGTATCAATTAGGAAATAGTACTGTGTAATAATTTTTATCTTATTTTTAAAATGTGAATAGCGCCACTCTCTTTGCAAACACCCTTACAGGGTGTCACATGTACTGTAATTTTAATATTATTAACATGTGACTATGCAATAAACGATTACACTACAATCTCAAAAAAAAACTGGTTTAACGGTAAAGAGAAACCTACATATCGGTGACTTACAACACTCATCATAAACGCTGGAAACAATCGTGAAATATATGGAAATTAATTAAATACAAAACGGTATTTTACATAGCAAATATTTTGTTTTTCGTACCCGCCATCGCAGCTTTAATTCATAAAAAACTAGTGAGGTACCTCATCCATATTGTCCTTGTCCGGCGTTAGCCTGTCCAGCATAGCGGAGAAGGATTGCAGAGGAGACCCGCTTTTCACGCTCCGGGTATCTTCGCTGTTGCGCTCCTCTGCGCATACAAATAAAATTCCGATTAGAATAACCTATCACAAATCACCCTTTGTAGACGGTGCTGCAATGGAACTGCACTGCCTGAGGGATGAGGCAAAAAAAATGAGGTTGGTGTTGTCTCTGGTTCGAGTCCGGTAGGACCGAAATAATTTTCTTTGTCTTTGTTCGATCTTTGTACCACCAATAATAATACAATAACAAAATAATTAAGTATTTTCACAAAAAAATATATGAATACGCGACTCATCTGATATTAAAAAGACATAATGTTACTTTTATTTCGTACAGCTTTATTATTAATTAAATTTTTATTGAATTGATATTCAATTCATTTTTGTGAAATTACTCCACTAGTTTGTTATAATTATTAATACAAAGATCGAACACTCAGAAAAAATTCCTTCGATTCAGTCGGAGTCGAACCGACGTCTCCTTGCATACCGTGCCAGACGCTATATCAACTAAGCCACGGAACGAACCAACGGACCTCACGAATTTGTCTATGTGCTTGTGTCGTGTCTTTGTATTTGGTTTTTCAACGAATTTTTAGTCGTAGCGCCATCTATGAGAAATCTATGAAAGATTTATCACCCAGTTAGTACCTTTACAGCTACCGGTCCTGGCGAGAGATGTCGCTATTCATTATTAGCATTATTATTTTTATTTTATTAATATTGTCAGTTATCTAAAAACATTAAATTCGAAATCCCGTTATTTCATTTATGGCGATATGCGATCATTGAAATTAAAAGTCGACATTGGCACCATCATTTCAAGTTTTAATCCAATCTTGTTAGTTCTATCGACCATAATGTCCGTTTTGTCAGTGTCGATTCTCGTTCTTTTCGCTCTTCTTAGACTTATCGATATTGGTACAGTAAATTTATCGCAAATTCGAAAAGTAATTAATCAAATTAATAGGTAAATTAAAAGTCTTACCAGATCGGTCTGGACTAGCGGAGCTCTTCCTCGACCCGTTACTGGAGTTGGAATGCACGGAGTCAGCACGCGCTAGTAGAGCGTCCAGTTGTTCTACTCCACCCGCTGTTCGACAAATAATTAACTGATATATAAACATGCCACATTAACACACTAAATACATATTTCATCTAATATTAGGAAACGTAGTGTACAGAATTACCTGAATTATACATAAAATAATGGGAACTCCATAGAAATACGGAACGTCGATTGCCTACAGAAGCGCAGCCATCTTTTCTTAAATTTTTCTTTTTGGCATTATCCGTGCGCACAAAATTTTACAGTTGAATCTTTACCCCATAGATTAACAAGATTTGCGCTTCGTCGTCGTGGAGTTTCAGTAGCCGTTGGTAGCGGTAAAGGAAAACATCGTGATGAAGATAATGCACAACTCTTGGGAAACCTATTGAGCAACTCACGGCCGTTTCCTTACATGCGACCTAGTGTCCAGCAGCAGAACGTATAATAGATTGATGATTATGATAGATGATATTTGAGAAGCTTCATAAATCTCTGACAGTTGTTTTGACTTTAACTTTTCTCTACTGACTCGATCTTATAGCTCAGTTGGTAGAGCTGTGGCCCTAGTTTGGCATACGCACGCAGGTTCCAGTCCTGTCAGAAAAAATCTTTTGTGTACCATATTTGTATTAATAATTATAACAAACTAGTGGAGTAAATTCACAAAAAAATATATTAATATCATGATAGTAAAACATCATGTTATTCAATAAAAATCAATTTAAGAAATTTCTATGTTAGGATATTCCTTGTAACTAATACTAATACAGAAATTATATCAGACCAAGAGACACGAAAGTTGGTATCCCGTACCACATTTACTTGAAACGAGTTTGGGATCTATCGCGTACTACCCAAGGTGCTTAACGACTGTGCTACCGAGATTTACGGCTAGCAACAATTCATAATAATCCGGGTTTTCTCAGGGCCAAAAGAACTGAAATATAGCACACAGTACCGAAGCCACGAATCAGGTGTGCCTTTTCAGCTACCATAAAAGTTTCAAGCTATTAAATAAACCGTATTCAGAATATACACTAGTGCTTGAATTTGTTACGGCTTCCTTCTAACGCATCTTAGTACCGAGATGTTTTCTTACCGGCGGCAATTTCGTCCATGACCGATTGCTTGCTGATGATCTCGACGGTGCCGCGTGTCGCGCGGTTCGGCGATAGAGGGGAATTAGGGCTGCAAACAAATTATCATATTTTATATATTTTGGGAAAATTCACTAACTTTAGTGCTTCATTGGCCGGGAAGTAAGTTCCGCCGAAGAATGTGTAGTGTTTTTCTCAAACAATGTGAAACAATAATAAAAGATTAAAGGGAGAAAGATGTATATAGGAAAGTTAAACAAAATTTTAATTACTATTAAAAGTTTGACATTTTCTTTTAGCACTTGTCCTAAACAACTGCTACTGAAAATGATGCTTTTCCAAGCTCATTAATAGTCTGCCAAACTTCCGATGACGTGGTTGAATGTGCATCCATTATTGTATTTTCGTTACCGCTCTTCTCATCAGCACTCATTTTCGTGACGAAAATCCAAAAGAATACCAAGGCACTTTAGTTTATTTTACCGTCTTCTTTTTCTTTTTTTTAAATAGAATAGCTATATAGGTAGATGTTTTATTAATTCTCTCCATGACGAATGGCAGTTGGTTAGGATATTGTCTAAAGAATGTGCTAATTTGTTACACCATAGGATGTACTTTATCCGATTACATAAAACCATGGAAACAGGATAAAATAAAAGTCTAAAACGAATTATTTTAGAATAAAAATATCTAACTTTGTACATAATTTTTATATGGAGATATTTCTCTTTAAGTACTACAGAGAATCTGCAAAAACTGAAGCCCTATTAGTTATTAAATTCGCATTTATCCCAAAATTTACAAATTGCCCAGCCAATTAACGACACGACGCACCGCCCGCTGCTGCCATCGGGCGCTTGTCGACGTCGGATCTGTGTTAAGTTTTCTCCTACTGTTCCTATTTTATCCACATTTATTTACACCGCAAGTATTGCGGGACGCGGGAGGCGACCCACCCCCAAACCTCACCTCCTGAAATCTAGGCTCGTGTTGAAATAACTGGCCTTAACGAATGGTAGTAACAAAATTTATCAATTATTATATGGCGAAGTGACATTACGGCCAAGTACACGAAGCAAACTATAAAACAGCGCGTTGGTATGGTGTGGTCTAACGGGCTGGTGTACTCAACTCGACGTTCAGGCGCTAATTTATAGCCTCGTTTTCACAGTTATTAATTTGAAATGGAACAATACACCAACTTGTTATCTCTAACAAATAGATGACGTTAATATGAATTCGTCAGATTGTTGTAAAGGTCGGTCGGCAACACAGAATTACAATGTTGGCACACCTGCATAACAGGTTAGCCAATTGTGGCGTGTGTACGCGGGCGGGAGAACCGCCAATTGACAGACTGACTATTTTAAACAGCCATGCAGTGCACCCATAAAACCTCGCGAGTTGCAACGTTCCATCAGTTCCAATTATATCAACCACGCTATATTTCTATAGTTAAGTGTGTGGACGTTTTGTGGAAGACTGTTTCTCCGTAAATGCCCACTCAAAAGCTTTCCTTTTCTTCGTCATATACCAAGCGGAATTGAACGCTTTTTGTAACCACGGGGTTTTGTTTAAAAAGTTTGAAATATAGATTTAAAATCGAATTTTTTAGTTAGATACCTTTCTTAAACAGAAATGAGATATGTCAGAAGTGGTTTAAGGCGCAAATGACTTACCTAACAATGCCCGCTCGCGCATCAGCGATCAGTTTTCTCGCTCGCTCCCGGAGCATTGTCTGTCTTTCTTCCACCGTCATCGACTGTACACACAACGTTTTAAATATTATAATATCATCATCATCGTCGTCAATATATTAATCGACCAGTGGGACTGCTAGGCACAGGTCTCCGCTAAGGTTTTTGGTCATAGACATAGGTCACGGCCACACGGGTCCAATGCGTGTTGACGACGTCACGCCTTTCCAAGGGTCGTGAACCTCGTGGCAAGTCTTACTTCACCATCAGTGAGAAATTTCACTATGCTATATATAGTGACAATACTAAAATGTACGAACGTAAAAAATATTTTCACAGGTACGTGCCGCCATAGAGATTCGAACCGTCGACTTCTCAATTGAGAAGCAAGCGTTCTCACACTTAGCTGCCACCACCCTTAACAACATGCTTGAATGCAATTAATTTGACTTATCAAAGTCACTAGTGCTAAAGCATATATTAAAAAGTGTGTCGTGCTAGTGTGCATTACCCATGAAAATCAAACACACCCGTCGTAGAGGTTGTTTTAAAAATTATGGTTATACCATCGAACATGTAACCAGAAATAGAGACGAAATAAGGGCTATCCATACCTGCCAACTCATCGGATAAATGGGCCTTAAATCACTTCTAAATATCAACTCTCGTTTGCGCTGAAATCACAAATTAGAAAGCTGAAATAGTACAGCGCCAACAACGTACATGTGTGTACGTCTCCGTATATTCCAAAAATATTCTGTATTTATTGTAATAAAGATAATATCTCTAACAATGAGGGCTCTTCCATTCGGGTGTGGGAAAAACAGCATAACATTTAATTACATAACAAACTGAATCACAATGTAATTTTACAATTTTCGTCCATTATAGCAAAGCTCAAGTTAAACTGGGCGTGTTGAAGTGAAACAATTGACGACACCCGTCAACTGTTTCGAATTCAGGCTGGCCAATCAGAGCGCAATTGTCACAGTAATGATTTCACAGAATAGTTTTCTAACAATTAAATGACATTTCGTCTCTATTTCTGGTTATATAGTTAATGAGTTATGCTTACTTGTCTGGCTTAGGACACTTGTCATACTCAAATATGTGTAATGCCAATTGGTTGTCATACTTCTTGCTAACTTTGTTTACTGTGGTAAAAAAGTTTAAAATAAATCACGTACCTTTTTAGGGCTCACTTCGTCACTTTTAACTCCGTTCATCTCAGCTTTTGCTTCTTCCTTTTCTTTTTGTCTTCTGAATCTCTCTTTTTCTCTAGCCTCTTTTTTAGTTTGTTCTAGTAGTAGTCTCGCTCTTTCCTTCAGCTCATCGTGACGTGATAACAATTGCTATAGCCAATCACGTTACAGGACGCGCCATTATCATCCAATCAGACCGAACGTAAAATAAGTAACCAACAACAATGAGGAATGGCATCCGTGGACCAATCAAATCCATGGGTGGGTCACGTCGATCAATCGTAGTGAACCAAGGGAAACGTTTCGACCAATCGCAAGCGTCGTTTACATGTAGCATCCAATAGGAAGCGGGCGTTTTCACACGCACACACAGGCAGGTTTTTCAAAGCGATGTGGGTGGAATGAAAAGAAATGAAATGACGTTATGTACTTATGTGGAAGTAAAATTTAAATAAAAACTGTTAAATGTTAAAAAAATAAATTGGGATTGAGGAGCGTTATACAAAACTATAGAAATTGTAAGTCGATTGTAAAAGAAAATTTAACAAGTCTAAAAATAATGATCAAATAATAATTTTTCAATCAAAAGGGACAGCACTATTTTTAGATCTGTTTATAAACTTTAGAAAGATATGCAACAAAATAGGTAACTACGTAACTAACCAGCTTGAAAGTTTCACACTAAAGTACTGTTACTTCAAATCCGCTACAAAATTATTAGATCGTGGTTTCGGTTTCGCTTTAAAAGATTTAAAGTAAAATACGTTTTCCACTGAGTCGAATCGAAAGGCGAAATTGAAACGACGTCCATGGATTTAAACTATGCTATGTCAATCTGAATAGGTACATAATCTAATTTCATTATAATTGGGTAAAAAGACAGCAACACTAAAGCCACTAACACTAATTTGAAAATCACTTACCGGCGTCGGTTTGGGCAATTCGGGCGTTTGCAGCTTCGGCTGGGAGTCAGTTCCAGGACTAGCTGGGTTGCTGAGAATCACCACGTTTAGAGGATCTGTTAACGGCTCTTGTTGTTCTGATTTCGCTGAAAAAACAGACGAGTAAAATAGGAATAACTATAAAAAGTATCCGTAGTGAAATATAATCCAGCACTACTTTATTTGAGAGTCAAAAGTCCATTATCCTGGGTAATTGGACTCTGCTCCTGAGAAAAACCACAGAGATTGTAATGCGTCTTTAACTTGTGATATGGGGAGAATTAGGGGGTCAATGTCCTTACCAGGTTCAGCGTCGTGAAGTCCGTTGCGGTGCGGTAGGGGTTGGTCCTCTTCGTCGTCCGAACCGAAAGGATCGGTCAGCTCTTTGCGCGTCATTAGACGCAATTGCGGCTGCGGCTGCGGCAAAGGCTGCGGCTGAGGCTGCTGCGGCTGCTGTAGTTGTAAGGAAGGCATTCGATGTATTTTACTCGATTCCTTGTAACTGTGCGATTAATCATGTGGGACGAAACGGGCTACGATTGAAAACTGAGTGTAATGAGTAGAATAAACCAAACAGTCATGAGTAGAAGCTCATTAAAACTAATACGATTTCTTTCTAACATGAACACTCATCCTCCGATTCAAGATCTGTTACGTCCAGCAAAAAAATAGGCTTAAGCTCCAAACTTGCCAATCGAAATTCACTCAAAATTTTACTTCAAGCATTAAATTTTTAAAAGTTTTTGGCCACATCCGATAGCAAACTCCTATGAACACAAAGGTTCAAATAATCAAATAAGGAGAAATTGAGTGTCCCTCAGAATTTGACGACTTAAAGCTCTCACTGGCACTAAAACTGCTATGAACAGGGGTGTCGTTAATCAGCAGACCCACGACATTTTCGTCCCGTGACTTGGTATCAGAAAAAAAGGCTTTTGTCTACAGTTCAATTGGAAGGTTGTTGTTCCGAGCCGTTTGGATATTCACTGGTTGGACTATTCACAGAAAATGACACTCTAAGACCAGACACCGCATAAGCACTAAAAGATTCAGGCAATTACTCGACCGAAGGTTTCTTCCTGGGAGCAGCAAGGTATTTCGACCTCGTTGGACCTAACTTACCTCATTGGCTTTAAGCGGTTCCGCAAACCACTTGGCCGTAGGTTTATTCCCGGGTGGAGATAGCATTTTATTGAGTATGCTCTTGGACTGTTGCAGGAACATATCGCGGACGTCTTTGATCGCCCCAGGGGAGTTCGGCTTGTCCGGCGTTGAACGTTCTTGGGAGTGGCGAGATTCTTGAGAGTCTTGAGACCTTAAATTGTTAAGGGCAAAAACACAATCAGGTGACAATAACAACGAACGTCAAAAGGTATCCTCAATTGTCGCTCACGACATCACATTCCAATTCGCGCCGACGGTCAGTAAGTGACTCACACGGGCCGAGACTTATTCTCCATTCGATGCGATCTTCTCGTGCTGATCTCTCGACTGAAGAGGTCCTGCGGCAAGGAACCGTCGGTGTCGTGGCGGCCGACCAAGTACGACGACTCCGTCTCGTCGTTGCCTGAACAGATAAACCGGTCGATTGAAACTCCAAGAACATCGGAATACTCGAACCGCTTTTCGGCGGGCGTTCGCTCACTGACCTAGTTGTTCGACCTGCAGCTCGTTGCCGGTGAAGTGCGCTCTCAGTTGGAACAGGTAGGTCATGATCTGCAACAAGCGACCGTTAGTGCCGGGGCGACGGCGGGCGGCGGCGGGCGGGCGCGGGCGGGGGCAGACTCACCGCCAGGCGGTCGGGCGTGGCGCGCGCGCAGACGTCGGCCACGGTCAGCACCTGCGAGATGCCGAGCTTGGCGCTGGCCTCCAGCGCGATGCGCACGTTGCGCTCCGCCTCGTCGGGCTGCAGCCCCGAGAAGTCGCTGCGGCACAAAGGTTCCCCTCACCACCGCCGCTCGGAGGAGCAGCATCTCCGACACGTTTGTTTAACAAAGTAACGTGCCCAAAGGTGCCTGTAGACCGGCTCGATTTTTTTGACGATCGACGCGGGTAACGTGGCTTATGTCGAGGAAATTCGTAAGCGACAGACAACCGACAACTTATTTTTAACGATCGTCAAAAATCGAACAGACCTGTAGGCGTATCAAATTGGCGTCCCAGTTCATTTACAAAAATGTATAATTTATATAATGACATTTTTCTATGAAATAAAACAAAAATAAGCTGCCTGTTACCGACAGCCATTGTGACAAATTAACTTCAGAAGCAAATATACGCTTCCATAGTAAGAGTTCTAATTATATTTAAACTCGCTGCTTGTATGTATCTCAGTTTTCTCAACCTTGACTTGTCCGAGAGCCTTGATGATGTCCTTGTAGAGATTTATCATTTCTTGACTTATTAGGAACCCTTACGGTAGCTTCATATGTGTATGTTAACGTATGTGCACAAACAATTTTCCACATAATTTTATATTTCTTCGTTATAAAACGAAGACACAAGAAATTTAAGAAGAAGAAGAAATTTGACATTTCAGCAGAATAAATTTACCATAACAATGCACGTCACCTTGCTTTGAGAGTTATGCAGGAAGTGATAACATAGTAATTAATAAGCACGTCCACTCGCTTCAAAAATTTTAATGGGAGTGATGACGGAACAAACCAACATAAGATTAGTGGAAGGAAAATGAACTCGAGAACGATTCAAAATTTAAAAAGTAAGTGGCCAGGAGCGGTATTCTGTAATCGCTATCGTTATGATTCGGTATGGCTCTGATAGCGAAAGTCGTCGATTGCCGTATCGACAACTTACCGATTATGCTATTCTGTAAACCCACGATAACGAAAATCGTTACTGGAACCGACGCGTACCGACAGCGACGTGACGTGAGCATTTCATTATCGAAAAATATACGAAATGGGAACATCCCGACGGGAGGCTATGTTTCTCGACCAATCACGATCGAGCGTTCAAATAGTTATTAACAAGCACTCTTAACTATGGTTATTTAGTTTGTGAAAAGTAGTAGTTTCAGTTTTTTCACGAATTAATTTTTAGTTGAAGTATTATTTCGTTTTGAGTTTCTTGATTGTTTGTTGCTTTTTAAACAAGTGATTGCAAGACACAGCCAAGAACAAGTACCTTTTAATTACGAAACATTTTGGCTTACCTTAAGGCAAAACGTGATTTTTTTCCACTTAATGCAATCAAAACACAAATATCAAACAGTGAAATGTTTATAAGAAAGCGCGTCGTTAAGAATAACGACGTTAACAGGATGTACTCGAAGAGCCGATAAAAATATCAAATCTTAACGAAACTTAACGAACGTATCGAACAGAATTGTCGTTATGATCGGTTAAAGTAGTGTACAGAATAATAGCATTTGTCGACAAAACCGCATAACGAATATCGAATAGCGAGCCTCAACGATTACAGAATACCGCTCCAGGTACCAGTAAAGAGGGTGATAAAAAGATGGGATGACCATGAAGGTCAGGAACGTCACAAACTCTACCGTTCACGAGATTTAACCATCGCTTAAAAAAACATTCATAAAAATGATTTCTGCAAAAAACTGTCCCTGCATACATAAATAACGAAAATCAACAGTAGTGACCCGTTTACATAACAGGTTTTATTTATATTCGGGTTCATAGGCAAAAGCCTATGATTAAAAATAAATGTTAATTTATTAATAAAAACATCGAAAACAAAGAAATATTCCTACGATCCGGTTGGACTCGTACCAGAGACCTCATCACAGCGTGGCTGACTCAGCCATCGAATCGAAGGTATTTCTCTTTGTTCTCGATGTTTGTATTAATAATAGTAACAAACTAGTGAAGTAATTTCACAAAAATAATTTATTACCAACGTAGTAAAACATCGTAATAGTCAATAACTTAGTATTACAAACGTCTATTTATTTTCCTAAAGCAACTTACTTGTTCTCCACAAGACAAACTGCTTTACGAATGTGTAGCCTTGTTTGATCAAATTGACGACTTCAAGTACAATTTGCTTACCTATGAAACTATAAAGAAAAAATAATCTTAACTTAACTGGCGTACTTTTTTGGATTCTTTGAACTTAGCACTTTTATCTTCTCTACGGGGTTTTATATTAGTAACTTATTTCATTCTTAAGTTTTTAAAAGCTAAAAAACACAAAATCCTATTCACACGAGCAAAACCACATGTAGTATAATGCGTGCAGAAGAAAAACTTGAGTCCAACTAAACTCATGGTTTAAATTAGTAACAAATTGCTACCGTTACGTTCTGGTTTAGTAACCGAAATAATCATTGCTAATTTGCTTTGTTTAGTTTACATCGTAAGTGTTAAGTTGCCTTTAGAACGTTCCAATTTAAACGTTAATGACTAACTGTCAGTGATTAATTAAGTACAATTTTGCCATGGTCGATTTGAAAGGTTAATATAATAACATAACAATAATATATTTATTTGACATCACAAATACAAAGAGCAACATGACAAGATTTCCAAAAATAATATAACAAAAAGCTTATGCTAAAGTGCCATTATATTTTAACATTTATATGCATTGCAAACGGGATACGCTGACACGCCTGGGAGCACTATGCACGGTCGCAGTTGGTTCCACACTAGGCAGAGCCTATCTTGTGACGACCCTATTACGAGTTCATTAAATGAATTTCGACAATGGTATGTTACGTTGCATATTATATTAAGTTTATTATTCAATAATGACGATGTTTTACAACTATGATATTCAATTATTTTCGTGAAATTAATACATTCTGAATTCGAACCAGCCGCTGGTATCAGTAAAGGTGCCTGGCTGAGTGAAGAAAAACTTTCATAGATTTCACACAGATGGCGCTGCGACAAAAACATCGTTAAAAACAAAGCTGTAGTAGTGCTCCTTGTGAAAGAGTTCGTCCAGGGAAGTACTGCCATCTTACCTATTTCTGCCGCCAAGAAGTAATGTTAGCCTTACTGCGTTCCGGATTTGAAGGGCAAGGATGCTGGTGAAATTACAGGCACATGGGACTTGTCAACTTATATGTCAGGGTGACGGGCGCAGTGGCAGTGCGCCTCAGATCTTTGCGATCGATTTAAAGCTCCGCGTCGCAGTGCAACTATGGACAGGCATGTAGCTTACAATCAGCTTTAACGACTTGTTAGGTCCCGTCACTTGATATTATAGAAAAGTTCGTTAGGTCAGCTGGTTCGTTTCGTAACGTTCCAATTTTGGATTAATGATTACAACAGATTAATATAAATTCAGTAAAAAGCGACATAAAATTGTACCCACATGAGATCCGGGCGATGTCGATGAACAATCGCGCAGAAGGCGAGGCCGGAGCGGAAGCTCGTCGTGAGATTGGTGACGCGACAGGAGCGGTACTCGCGCGTCACGGACTGGCACCATTCCAGGAGGTCTTGCACCTGGGGCAAACAAATGATCTTTCGTCACTGGCCTCTTATGCCTTTGCCATATGGTTCCGATGATTTTATACTAACAAAACTGCATGTCAACGCAAGAAGACAACGTGATAAGGATATAAATTAGAAGGCACCCATTTTAGAGGTCACCCACAAAATGATTTTGAATATTTTGGCTTACCCGTATTCTCCATTGTGATTTTTTCGTGTCTATTTTTCAAAATGGTAGCCACTTATGGATAATTGACATCAATACAAAACAAGAAATGTTTTGAGACAAAATCTCATAAAGTATTAAGTTTCCTAGATATAAGCTATCAAAGAGTTTACAGGAGGCCTAAACTCAAAGTAGAACAAAATCTGTAAACTTGCTTTTAATATTCTTTTACAGTCATTCAGATCTATATAAAGCGTCAATGTCAAATCCAAGGGGAAATCCTTACACTTCATACACCTCCACATATATTTCAATGGTCTTATTTCAATGCTTATCATCTGCCTAAAGTAAAATGTGAGGTGACTGGATCCATTTATCTTGAACTACATTACATCAAGGTGGATATTTACACAAAAATAGGCATTTATCTCGTACACAGACAGGTAGGTATTTTAAATGGTTTTAAAATTTTTAAATTAGCGATAAAAATAAGAGACCGTGGAGTTTTATAGCATTTTAAAATTATCATCATTAATTAGCTTCAATTCAAAAAGAAGTAAGTACACACAAATTAGGTTTTCATTGCGCTAATCAAAATGTGAAAAAAAACACTAACTTATACTTTGAAGAAATGACACCTTAAGAGATTTCGTACGTAACAATTCTAATTTATGTCAGTTATCAATTTAGATATGTTTTATATTCGGCCGCCATTTTGATTATATTTCAAAATTGGCGCTACAGGCCGCAAATAAATAAGCCAGTCTCCATAGTAAAAATTTTAATCCCCTATACGTTTCTTTTTAAAACAGAATTACGTAATGCTGTGTATTTGACATGGAAAAGAGAACAGAGAAGTATTACACATAAAATGTACTCATATGCGTTGTATGGTAAGGCATTGCATGCAATTAAAAAGATAAATTGATATTCAAGATAAGGCGTTGCAGAGTAAAACAATGCTTAAGCAATAGGCTAAAACAAGCGCCTTGTTAAGTTCAAGTGTTATTTATTATATGCGCTACACAACTGAAGCTATCTCACCTGTGGTATTTTACTGTAATCGGCTGTTTCCGGCACCGGTTCGACAATTTCAACGGCCGTTTCTTCAGTCGACGTCTTAGCATAGATAAAAGATAAGAGATAGACATAAAATACAAAGAAAGAAGTACAAAATAGAGTTAAAAAGAAAACAATAGAAAATTAAATAGATAAAAACTATATTGCAAAGCAAAAGAAGTAAAAGCTAACAGGTTACGTTTGGACCCGTACTATTGTAACGCTGAGTGTTCTAGAGAAAATAATTAAACTCGAATGCATTTATTATATGTTACCATAGAGCATTTAACTGTAGGCTTGTTCCAAAGACATTATAAAGGTGTACGAAAATATAGATAACCAACGGTACGTCACAGTTTTCTCATGCCTTCGAATGACATACAGTGCCGTCTTTAAGCTTCGTGTCCCGATGTCCCCAAAATACTTAACAATGTCCCGCTTTGGCAAAGCAAGACACACTTGACACAATTTTTTTTTAAATGGTGCCGTAGCAAAGAATATATAAAGCCAGCCCACCAGACTACACAAGATTTCTTAAAATTTTTGATTATTAAACAATTTTTATTTTTTTAATCATCAAATATTTCGTAACACTCATAAACATGAGTTTTATTTTTAAAACAATAATAAATATACGGGCGTCCTGCTCTGTGAGAAATATGAAATGGTCACGTTAGGTATACCATGTATGCAATTTAAAGAACTAGTTTCATCATCTAAAAACACGAACACCCCAATAGAGATTACTAGTATCACAATTTGAGGGTCCAATAGTAACTTGTCAAGTTTTATAAAACATTATAAAACTGTCAAATTAGTATACTGTCAATACAATCAACTATACCTGCTTTTCAACATTGCCTGTAGTTTCTGGCAACGGTGTGACATTTTCTTCGGTTGGCGTCTGAACCGTAGATAAAAATAAAGAAAATAAATACATAAATACAAAGTACAAATTAAAGAAAAAGAAATAGAAAAGGAAAAATAGAAAAGAAACAAGAAGTTTAATCCGTATAATTCTTCTACACTTTATATATTTCTATGACATTGACATCTTACCTGTGAAGTTTCGCTGTAGTCCACTGATTCTGGCAAATCGTTTACATTTCCCTGGTCCGGCGTCTTACCATAGATAAAAAATAGAATTAAGAAAAGAAATAGAAAAGAAAGTGCAAATAAAGAAAGGTGAAAGACAATAAGAAAAAAATGTTTTAAAATCGACCTACTTAAACAACAATTTAACAGCACCTTTTGCCCAGAAGATTAAATTAAATATTTTTTTTAAATAACGAAAAAATTATTACAACAACATATTTGCGCATAAATCCAAAATACAACCTACCGGTGTTTTATCCTTATCCATCCTTCCAGGCAATAATTTCTCCACTTCTCCAGTGGGTGTCTTGTCATCTTCTTCATTGTCATTTTTATCCAAATTAATATTATTCAGATTCGTTTTAAACTCCAGAGGTTTTAAGTTCCTCCTCACAACTGCATTAGGTTTAAATATATTCGTTTTAATTAAACTATCCGTTTTTAATTCCGAATTAACTTTACTGGGCGTTGACGAAAATTTCGGCGGTTCCTTCATAGCCATTTTGGTCAAATTTGACAGGAAATCTGGCCGTGATTTTTCTGGTTTTTCTGTGATTTTCAACTCTTCATTTACTGGTGTTACAGCACCTAGGTCGTTCGGGGGATGTTCTGGTACTTCTGGCGAGACAGGCGCGGTGGGGGTGCGGGAGTTGTCGAAGTTGAGGCTTTGGACGCTGTTGGGGGTGGCTGCGATATCGCTGTTCGTGAGAGACTGTGTCATTTCTTCCATTTGTTGGCGGAAATCTAGCACCTGTGGCGAAAATGATAAAAATAGTTTGGTCAGACAATAAAGATTCCTGTCGCAATGTGCGCCTGTAATTCGTCTCCCAAAACATACACAGAAATTAAGACTAAAATGTCAAAATTTCAAAAATAAATTCTGCCAGAATGCCACAAAGCACGCAGGAGGCTTACGCTTACGAAATCCTTCATGTATTTGTTACGACTTTTTGCGCACCTCTGAGAACTTACGAAAGTTTTCCACGCAACCAGGTACCTCTACAGCTACCAGAAAAATTTTTCTACCCGCTATTTATATATTACCTGTCTAGTTGAATTGTCGGAGAGCGTATAAGTGTCGTCCTCGTCGAGATCTTCCAGCACAGCGATGTCAGAATTGTTGTTCACGGAAAGGAGCGAAGCCAACGATTGCATATCTTCGTCGCTGTAAAAATGTGTATACCAGAGTTAAAAACGACCGAAAGTTTCTTAATATTTAATCAGAATAGATTGAACTATAACATCATATCTATTTAACTATCCCTTTAGTTAAGGACTTCGAATTCTTAGCATCAAATTGTATATGTTGGTTACACTCATCTATACCGTGCTTATCAGGTTATCGTCAGTACACAATGAAATCATCATCACCATTATACGCCCCGCTACTAGACACGGGTCTCCACTAATGAAGTGTTTAGGTCATAACCCCTTTCCTAGGGTGATGAACCTTCTTCGACGTGCAAGTTTCATCACGTTATTTTCCTTGACAGTTCAGCGAGAGCTATTGCTGCTGCACATTCACCAACGTACGTAATTTAGAAATTGAAGTCATAGGCAAATATCCAACCGTCGACTTCTCATAGGAGAAGCAACCGTTCTTCCATAGATATAAAATTATGATCTTCAGCTCAATGTGAAGTTTCGAACGAAAATATAACAAAGGTTTATTCTAGAAAGAACCAATCAACTTAAACAAATAAATAAATACTAGACAACGTCACACACGTTGCTCTGATCCCAAAGTAAGTAGCTAAAGCACAAACACCCAGACCCGAGAAAATATAGAAAAGTTAGGGTCGCATTCCAGAACTCTACTCAATGGTCAAGTCAGGACTTGAGCAGACTTTAGTATGATTTCAATCACTGGAAATACGACCCTAATGGCAAGGACTTGAGTATGATTTTCATTGCTCACTTGAGTATTGAGTAGAGTTCGGGAATACGACCCTTAGTTTTCTACACACTGACCCGGCCGGGGACCGAGCCCGGAACTTCAGAGACGGCGACACCACGAACCCGGCGTGCAAGGCGCTCGACCTCGGAGGCCGTGAATTGCGCAGTCGGTCGCGCTTAATTGGCGAAAGCGCAGTCGGACTTACGTGGCCTGGCCCTCCCGCAGCAGGACGCAGTGCAGCGTGAGGTGGACGGTGGCGCCGACGATCTTCTGCGTGGTGGGGTCCATGCTGAGCGCCAGCGCGCGCTGCGAGGGCTCCAGGCTGGCGTACTTGCGCATGTTGATGGAGCGAACCGCCAGGCGGCGGCGCTTGCCCGTCGACGACACCTGCCGTCAAATAATACCGCGTGCCTATCAAGTAGCAGTAGCCCTAATGAAAGGTTCGTCCGGGAGGTACTGCCACGTTACATATTTCTGCCGCCAAGTAATGTCGGCGTTCCGGTTTTGAAAGGACTTGTCAACTTATCCTCACTATAACCTCACTTTCCCAAACTCATATCTTATAAAGAGTGATTATTGAGGAGATGGCAAAACTTTCTATTTATTTTAAATTTCTTATCAAGGGTGTTAATTTGGATAGCTTACTTTAAGAATAGGTAAAAGCCAGTTTGTGAATATGAAGGAAATGTAATGTGAAATCGGCTTGCAAAATTTGTATATATAACCCATTCTTTACATTTCAGTAACTTTGTGTTTTAAGAAACGACTTTGGGAAAGTAAAGCGACGTTATGTCTCAGGGTGAGGGGCGCAGTGCCCCTCACATCTTTGCGTTTTAAAGCTCTGAGTGGTACTGCAACTGTTATGGATAGGCGAGTCGCTTGCCCCCAGGTCCACGACCTGTTCGTCCCATCACTTGGTATTATAGAAAAGAAGTGGATCGCCTGATGATAAGTGATGACAGGATCATAGACGTCCTCTGTAGCACAGTGGGCGGTAGACAATGTGATCTTGGATTCAGTTACAGGTAGGATCAATTTAGGAAATCTATTTTTCTGATTTGGTTCTAGTCTACGTATTCGGAGTCTACTCATACTACACAGAATTCCCAAGTTTGAGACCAGGCAATTGGTGTGATCGTCTGGCACATTGTTATCTCGCCCTTCTCATCGAAATCACCATAATCACCAAATAAACCTTAAAACCTCCACAGCTGGCGTACGCCTTTTCCAAGCGGACAGACCACAGTACGTTAAATGGTGCACAGGCCACACGCGAGCTTAAGGACCCATCGACCAAGACACGACCAATCACCAAGCTCCCCTTTTCCATGACCCTCAAACTACGAAAAAGTGGTATAGAACTATCTATATTAAGGCAGTCAAGTTATAAAGAAGTCCTGAATCAGTGCCAAACAAGGCATTGAACTCAATACAGTCAATCATCACGTCTTTGGACAATTGAATAAAATTCGTCTTTGTACCTTATCTGATATTAAGCTACACTTACATCTTCCAAGACAAAAGTCCAGTCTTTATCTTCAAGTTCATTGGTGCGAGAATCCTTAAACAAGGTCACGGCCACCGTGTGGTTTTCGGGGACCGTGTAGACTACTGTGCCCCTGCAAGTGGGAGAATATACAATGTATAGATATAAAATTGTTATTGATACAAAGATCGAAAAAAGAGAAAAATTCCTTGGATGTTATTGGACTCGGACCAGCGCCTGTTGCCACACTGGGGCAACAGCTCTTACCAAGTGCGCTAGAGAGCAAGCACATCTTACGAATTTCTATATGGGCTTGTTGCAGATTTTTGTATCAGATTCAAAGGCTTTTTGCCGTGACAAACTTATGAAAGTTTAATTACTAGTCAAATTTAATATAAAAAGAATATTAGACAAAGTCATATTCATTACGAAGCATTATGCGTAGCAACGCAAGAAGCTATTATTTAAAGGATTTTGACTCTTTGCTGAATATTAAACAAATTACTTCTTTTACAAACAAAGCAAGAATGTTTTCTCGTTTTAAGTACATGGACATCTGGGAATGGATGTACAATTCACAAAATACACTCACGCCTTTGCGTTGCCTGGAGAAAACCTCTCTAGATTTACTTACATTCATTAACAGAGACGGGCAGTGGGTTAAAACCAAATGAACCCGGTTTTATCCGGGTTTTTATCCAAAGCGCCGCCAAAGGTTTTATCCCATTTATGAATAAAATCGTGGGGGAAACCATTATACGCGTAAAATAATATGGAAGTTGGTATAATTCTATTCTTGTTAGGTTTTTTTTTTTTACGATAAAGAGGCAATTTACAGCAAGCGATACTTTATGATTCGATTTTTGTGGAAATCGATTCAAATTATATTATTATACGATATAACGTTTTTTTGTATTGATAATTTCAATTTTCGATTTTCAAGCGAATGGATTCAATAGAAAGGCAAAACAAGTGAGCAAGCACTAAACATTTTGTAATAATATCATTTCTTTTGAACAAATCTCGATTTACAAATATTTAGTTGTACCTAAATAGTTTTTGCCCTCGACTCCGGGTGTTAATGGGTTTTACCCCGATTTAAACTCAGCATTAAAAAAACGCCGGGTTAAAACCAGGCGTTACTCATCAATCTTTCCACGATTTTAGGATCATAGTCCAATAAAAAAAATGGTCAATTGGAACTATAATGACATTTTTGACAGCATCTATGCAAATCTGTATGTGTAAATATTAACTTATTACTCTGGCACTCACTTGAGCGGATCCTTTAGCGAAGGCTCCCACTCCAGGGGGTCAGTGATGACACGCCGCGAACGTCGCGTCCATACTATACTCAACTTGTTCGGTTTCCTGATAACAAAAGGGCATTAGAGATATAGAGTTGACCTTTCTAAGTGTCTGAGGCAAAAATGATTGATTATATTGTACGGTTACACAAAGCGGCAAACAGTTAGGCGGTATCATTAATTTTGCTAATGCATTACCAGGCGTCAAATATCCACCATCACACTTCCAGTCAAAGGAGTAGAGCCCATTTCTGTACCCTTGATGCCCAGCATTACCCGAGTTTGTTTCTTCCAAGTAACTGCGAGATGTGGATTGACCTCTGTTCTGTTTCCTTTGCGTTATGATGTGGGTTTTTCAAAGAGCGAGTAAACAAGGCTCTCAATGGTGATGACTGCCTCCCAGTTTTAGTAGCAGTAGAGCTCCTTGTGAAAGACTTTGTAGTGCCACCTTGCCTATTTCTGGACGCCAAGCAGTAATGTGAGCTTTATCGCGTCCGGTTTGGAAGGGTAAGAGTGCTGGTGAAATTACAGGCACATGGGTCTTATCAACTTATGTCTCAGGGTGATGAGCGTAGTGGCAGTGCCCCTAAGATCTTTATGATTTAAAGCAGTGAGTGGCACTGCAAAAAAGCCCATCATCAAGTTTCTCGTATTTTGTGTAAGACATGTCGTGGTAGTTGTGCTGACCTTCCCCACCTCTCGAGGTAAGGCATTGGTTCTTACCTGAGAGGGAGGGAGGGGAGGAATGTAGTGTGTAAATATTTATGTAAACACTGACAAATCTCGCATCCCAGGACAAGGATCCGTTTTGTTGGTTCGTATTAACCCGCCGCTGTACAACGAGTGTGTTTTACACTTCATTACCATATTTAATACGAAGCATAAGTAAATTGTTGTTCACCAAAGTTCAGGGTCATGGTGAACAAGTGTACAATAGTGCATATTAATAAAGACAATACAAGCCAAGTTGGTAACAGGTTTGTCATTTTTTCCAACTATGGAATTATTAGAGTTTGTCGTATACCTAAAAACTGCAGTATCTTATCAAGGTTTTTTACGAGAACTTGTTTCCTGTTTACTTTTAAACTATTTTGTAAGTTATTACACTTCGGTAGGTGCTTGATGACGAGGTTCTACCACAACTGGCTACTTAGTGCCTCTAAAGTTAATTTCGTCACTTTGGTACTTATTTGAAATACTCAATTAGAAGACATTCTTTAGTTGCCCCCCTTTTCATCTTGCATATTACTTAACCTGGTAGACATTAAGACTTAGCAATAAGGCTGCCTGTTGTGTTGTACATTAACTTACTTAAATTCCTGTTCTGTCTTGTCATAGTAATTTTAATGTGCAATAAAGAATTTGCATTCATTCAATCATTCATTTAACTGCTTGCGTGGCCGAACGGTTACCATGCTGGTCTGCCACGCAGAGGTCCCGGGTTCGGTTCCGCGGCAGGCCGGGATAAATATTTGTATGGCCTACATTTATTTCTCATGTTAAATTGGGGTGTAATTTGTGGTTATATACGTGTATGTGTCCATGGTACCTGCGATACAGGGTTTTCCTAGTGCGGAGCTATGACTGTGTGCGTTATTGATGGTAGTCATAAGTAAATTCTCTAGTTTGAGACCAGGTAGTTGGTATGAATGTCTGAAGCACACAACGCTATATATAATCGAAGTAATATTTTTATTTAGTGGACACATCCCTTTGAGAATTGCTTATCCCCAGTTCCCACATGACACACGTTACTATAGGTACTTCACGCCTAAATAGTATAAGAAAAACTGCAATAAAGACAAACTAACCACTTAGGCGACGTTTCGAGATCAACGCGGTGGTAGGAGGCGGTGTACTGAAACTTGGCGGCGCGCTTGTTCACGCGCTGCAGTCGCTTCCACACCGACGCCATTGCCGACTCTGCAAAAAACATTTTCATTTGTGATTAATTAGAAAAAAAGTAGAAAACGCTGTGTACAACTCTGCCCTCATATCATATTAACGTTATCGTTTTTTTTTTGGGAAATTGAGTTATTAACATATCCGGAATCAGCAAAGTAAGATCTACAACTCTCTCTAATCGGTTTTTAACATTGACTTACGAATAAATGGACGACGGGTCTAATACAAAAACCACGAAAAACTAAAAACTAAAACGTTGAATTTAAATTGTAATGTCATCGCAGTACTGTCTAATATTGCTTGCTTCGCTGTCAGTCGAACAAACGAAGACTAAAGCGTGAATGACGCTCTGTATACTAATTTAACGCCCTATAAGTTCGGACACTTTTTAGCGCGGACCCGACGTCCATATAATTGTAAGTCAATGGTTTTTAAATATCTTATTTGGTTTCAGTTTTATTGTTGAGCAAAATCAGGCATTTTTTAGGTGACAATAAAACTTCAGGCGTCAATATCTCGAAAGTTAACGAAATGAGTTATACTACAAAGGTTTAGGTAATTAAGAGTCGACACTACCTTAGCTCGAATGCAAATATTTTATCCGCATTAGCACGGTTCATTTTCGTTAGGTCGTGCGGCTGGGACACTGGCTTGATTGCAGAATTTATTTATTTATAAAAGAAATTAAAGGAATTTGATAAATTTAAAAAAAAACCATTGGTATATGTAAAATACCTATTGAACGTAGCGGTTTTCTTGTAAAATGTAAGTTTTTCTATCGTGAAAGTTTTTGGAAAACGTGTTTTACACCTTACAGTAATCAGTGTATATAACCTCAATTGATTCAACACTTCACTGTTATGCTGAATCAATCAAAGCCATCTGAGGTAGTGTAGACTCTTAACTAAATGAGGCACCTGCTTGCTTATAATGAACTTTTCAAAATGGCTCTAAATATGACAATATTTTCAGATAATAGACAACATTTCGAACTACCTATTTAAAATAGTACTAAATATATAATACAAATATAATATTTAAATAAATATATTTACGTATTACACTTTCCTATGATAAACAATCTAAAATCAACAGAATAATAACATAAAATATTTCAATTATTCAAATGTTAGCTGGAAGCAATCCCTTTACGGGATATGCTCGTCTTTGTACAATAACGTTTTATTTCTGTGTTAAAAATTTGTTTTGTTGTACAATAGTGTTTACATACATACATTCTGCCTATAAAAAGATGACAGCCAATAACATGCGACCAATTTTCAGAAGTTTGTTTACTTTTAGTTAATATCCTAAACCTTTATAGTTACCTCTATAGTTATGACAAGGAGGACAGAATTACTAACAATTATAATTGTAATAATACCGGAATGCAAGATATTTATGACTTTTACGCGTATTTTCCTTATTGCTACACATAATTAGTAAATTACTACGAGCACGTGGGATTTGTGAACTTCATGTCTCAAGGTGTCGAACTGTAAAGCGGCCGATCGAATTTGTCTTTTTTAAGACAAAAACTAATTTTCCCAACACCCGATATACTGATAAAAATTACACATATAACGATAACTGACTTCCCGATCCCCGGAGCGATATACCGCTCTTTGGGCGTGCCAATGCCTAACTGACTTGTGAAACTTGCACATTGCATTATGGAAAAATACGGCAATAAAATTTATAAACCCTTGCAAAATGACCGTATTTTTACCATTTAAACCATTTATTGCCACATACATTAATTACATAACAAAACTAAGCTTAAAAGATTACTTATTAATGCAAAAATAAATTAAATCAATATATGCATTAAATGATTTGTGTGGGGGAGACAGACTCGGCATTTACTGAGCGCCAGAAGTGGCTCAGCGCTGGTTTTCAGCCTGCCCCCGATCTTTGCAAACACATTTGTAATAGGGCTTGTTTCGCAAACTTAGTACTTGGTAACATTGTAAAGCTAAATCTGAATAAGTAATAAATAATTCCTTTCAGTTAACTTTAATAAATAATCTGTATTAAAACATCATTGTACATTTTACTCCATTCTAACTACGTTTCTAATCATCTTCTTCTTTAACTGCCTCCGTGGCAGAACGGTTACCATGCCGGACTGCCACGCAGAGGTCCCAGGTTCGATTCCCGGGCCGGGAGAAATATTTGTGTGGCCTACAATTATTTCTCTCGTGAGTTTGGGTGTAATTTGTGGTTGTCTATGTGTGTGTCCATGGCACCCGCGACACAGGGTTTCCCTAGTGCGGGGCTAAGTTGAGTGTGTGCGTTATATCTTCTGTATAAATTTACCGATCCATGTATATAGTATATCATGTGCACCCTAATTCTAAACCAATGTACCACATTAAAAATAAACAATGTAATACCACATTAAAAAATTGTATATCTTACTTAATTATCTATTGCCTCAAAACAAGTATTAGGGGTTGGGTTATAACAGAATGCAATGGCAGCGGCAATAACCCTCGAGATCTGTTACGGTGGTAAGCAACACGCTTGTCTGGCTGCCACGAAGAGCATTTGTTCGTTCCGTTTCTTGATTAATATAATAGAATTAGTATTACGTAACTAGGTAGCATAATGGTTGCTTTTTCAATCGAGATCGACGCTTCGATTCGGGAATATCGTCGATATCGTCGGGAATAGTGCAATAACGCATAATTAGCATTGGATAATAAGTTTCCATTTCGGTAATTTAGTCGCCAAATCAAATACACGTAACTGTCGTGCCAACCATATAGCGCTATTTACGGGAACCTGTTGTTATCAGTCCATAAACAACATAAATTAATGCTTGCAAAACAGAAAGTTATTGCCATAGAAATAACAAAATAATGACGTTCAATCGTAAAATTTGGTTTAGTGCTGATACGCGCCTTTTACCAATGCTAGGCCGATATGCACTATCCCAGACGATATGTGAATGTTTCGTAGCGGTACTTCTCGCGATTGGTGGAGGAAAACATGTAAAGTCCCCAATTGCATTGAGCTAGTGTGGCGGATTACGGCCAAAACTCTTCCCATATCCTCTATGGGAAGAGTTTTGCCCGAATCTCCTGATTCGTGCGCAGCAGTGGAGAATATATAATATTGAAACGCGTTTTTCGAGCCGCTCAATAAATAACTGCCGTAATCAGTAGGGCAGCTGCCGTTAGCGCGGGCGGACGTGATTATCTATGTATTATCAATCACAGACAGAAACGGAAGCCACATCTGGTCGTGTTTATTTTCATTTTACTGAAACGCACACCAAATAACATTTTTGTGGCGGAGATCTATGCTAAGCATGCAGCAGTGGCGTGGCTACAACATACCAATAACCACTAAAACGTAAATGTACGCAATACATTTTTAATCAAATTCTGCGTGTAGGTAAAAATATCGACCTCGACGGCCTTGCGGTTAACACTATGAGATCTTGATGAAGAGGTCCCAGGTTGTTTCATTCCCGGCAAGACTCATTTAAGAAACGAGCTTTTTTAAAATATGGTTCAGGGCTATCTTTTCTGATATTCATAATTCTTAGGAAATTCCCCTAGTCGGCGACTGTAATCGTCTTGGTATACGTTATTATTAGTTAAATAATAATGTATAAATAACAAAATAACTTTATTTACCTACACTGGCATTAAACAACATCGTTAGTGTTACTTGAGGCTGGACGTAAGTGGCTATTCAGACCTACCCTTTTGGTGAAACTCCCGACATTTTTTATTCCAACAGTAGTATGAAGCCTCTAGACTTTTTAGTAGCAGTACAGCTCCTTGTGAAAGAGTTCGCCCAGGGAAGTACTACGTTCCGGTTTGGAAGGGTAAGCGTACTGGTGAAATTACATCAGATTACATCATCAGTGCCTGCAATTGCATCAGCCCCCTACTTACAGAACGCAGTAATGCTTACATTATTGCCTGGCGACAGAAAGAGATAAGGTGGCAACACTTCCATGGATGAAATCTTTTACAAGGAGCTCTACTGCTACTAAATTATAGATGTTTATTAAGGGAATCACCAAACTTGCCGCAATCGCACTAATCCGGGCAGCTTTATGCTAATAAGATAAGAATAAAAGCGAAAAAAACGTGCGAGCGTTCGCGGTAATAAGTGTGGTGGTTCTCTAAATTGAAGTACAGAACCGTGGCCGCTGCGCTTCGCAATATTCAATGGTGTGGCAAAAATCGTCTCCGATTCTGGCGTCGCAGTCACAAAAAAAAACAAGTATACGTCTCATTAAAATAACCAAAACAAACAGTCACTTACGCAACACGCTAATAACAGATATCGCATTATTAACACCTACATATTAACCTAAATGTTGGTGATGATCTCATCTCCATGACGTTATTTGAACTCTACGGTCATTGCTTGGAATTGCAAACAGAACTAAATGTGCATACTAACGAGGAGTCAAATAAATATATTTTAAGATCATCATCATTGTCATCGAAAATATCCACTGCTGAAATTAGAATCCACCAATAGAACGCCACCACGCACAGGTTATCAGCGTCCATCGAGTTTCTGCGACCTTCTCCAGGTCGCTCGTCCACTTAGTGGGAAGATGTCCAACAAAAAGTGCGCCTTTTCAAACAGCACCTCATTATAATTGCACAGAATACTAAATACGAGGCGAAAATAAAACATCGCTCCGTACTCTAACATTATATAAGCAGTAAACTATTCTGATTTTAATGCTCAATAAGGATTGGGCGAAAATAGATTTCCAAACTTGGCTGGCGCACTACTGCCCAATCAACGGTCTTCTGAATTATAAATCGGAATTAGTTCCAGTGTTTAAGCACGCCCTACATCATCCGATGGCATCATAATAATCATCCTAAAGTAGATCGACTTCCCTACACACATTCATTGAGAAATCTCATACGACAGGGTCCGACGGGATGGCTACATCGAGCAGAGGTATTTCACGTTAATATCGGTCGTAAAAGCTCAGATTCCTTAATATTCTTGTACGTAATTCTTTTGTCGCGTTCACAACAGCCATTAAATCATTTCATTACGTTAGCTTTGCAGCGCATTTGAAAAGATGGGAATCGAAAACTGTCGCGCTGTTAGCCTATTAGAGACAGTCGCAACGTGAATAGCCGCCTTAACTCTCAACATGCATCTCTTGAGCAATTGAACACATTCATGTCTATTTAAAGAATATATTCGAGTATGGTGTTTAGATTCGTTTCGAGTGTAAGAGTTATTCTCGTTTCAGCTGATTATGTATGGCTTCGGAATGTTATTTGCTTCTTCTTATCGCCACTGGATTTTAGTTACGAATAGAACTCTTATAAGAAATGTGTTGTCAGTAATGCCTATGGTATAAATCCAGAAGATTGACAGGAGGTTCTCTCTGTATATTAATTTGTCGCGTTAAACTAAGCTACGATAGCGGAAATTCAGGGATTATCGTAGCATTCCCCACGCACACTTCGCTTGAATAGGGCCCAGTCTTATTGTGTTTGCCAACGTGATTTCAAAATGTAGCCATTTTGCAAATTCACTTGTCATGCAGTGGACTATGATAAAATGCTTAATGAATAATAATTAAGCAGTTTTTAATGTCAGACAGTAATTAACAAGTATCCCAAAAATTGAAAAAATGTAATAACAGAATTTTAATTACTTAAAAAACTAAATTCAATAGTTCAAAATCGAGTGCGTTCGGACGGGACTTATAAGGGTACGGTTATTTGCGTAAATGTTGGGTGGTTTCTATCCGATTTGTTGGAGTCAAGTTGTAGTGCAACGAAGACTTTGTATGCATGTTTGGTTTGGTAATATTTTGATTTATCTGTCTGGATTTTATTAAATGTTTTCGTGATGTTTCGTTTTTACAATGGGGCTGTATGTTCAATAATAATCAAAGTTCCTAAATAAATACAAAGTTAAAAAACGGAAGAAAATACAATAATGGTTATTTTTGACGTCATAGTTTAGTAGACCATACAAGCGACACTGGTATAGCGAAAAAGTGGTGGAATGGGGTGCACATTCCACCATTTTTTCGCTGCACTGATTTGAGATTTGAAGACCAATCTTCATTGTTATTTAAGATATGTTATTGATGCACACAAATATGAGTCATTTCGCCTTTTAAAATCTAGGACTCAATAAAGAAGTGGCTAATCACTTCAACTTTGGACTAAATTACTTTGATGGAAGTATATTTTATTTTTATCCCAAAATTTTGCTATTTAGCATTACGCTAAAATAGTGCGAGGACAAATGTTGGTGTTTACTAATGAATTGGTACATCCTGCTCACTTTTATGACAAGTAGCAATATGCTAAATGCAGGTATGACACTGTTTCTTTCATTTTGCTATGCTTTACATCAAAGTTTTGTCCCAGTACACTGAGGACAAACATTTCAATGTTAATTTTAACATGACACTAATGTTGCAACAATTAAATATATTTACAAATAAACCACTAAAATATCTACTGTTCTAAGCAGAGATCGAAGGAGGCAGAATTTATTTACCACTTCAAGTATATAAGCTAGAAGTAATGTGAACATTACTGCGTTCTGGATTTAAAGGTGTTGGTGAAATCACAGAAACATGGGACTTGTCCACTTATGTCTCAGGGTGATAGGAGTAATGGCAGTGCTCCTCATATCTTTGCGATTTAAAGCTCTATGTGGCACTGTAACTGTTGTAGACAGGTGTGTAGCTTACCATCGGGCGCACAACTTGTTCGTCCCGTCACTTGATATTTAAAAAAAAACTTCCCTCTATAATCCCAAAGTAATGATACACCATTGGAGAAAAATAATTATAAAAACCAAAATACAACACAATAATTACGGGATGGTATTGCATGGTATAACAAGTAGGTGTTCGCAGGGTCTTACTTGTACCACCTGAGCTTCTCCAGTAAATTTTGCTTGTAATTGGCCACATTAGAGCAATTGTGGTAGGATAATTATAAGAATTTAGAGGGAGGTTATATCCATTCTAGGTGTATAACTTGCTTAAAGTTTACATAATGTTAGACAAAACAATATAAATAGAAACTGGCTCAACTATGGTGAATATGGTGATTCACTTTCTTATTATCTGTTAAAATTTACTTGTTCAGGTTATTTATTGGTAGCGCTTTCAATTAAAAATAAATGTTCTAATCTTTAAGTTCTAAGTGTAATGAGAAATACATGTGTCATTTGCATTAATTTCCTCACACATTGAAGCATTTATATTTTGCATCTCATAATGTAAACTTGAATATATTATTGGTTTTTCCTGTAACTGTTCAATTGCAATTTTTGCTGATAAGATTGGAGCAAATTAATATAAATGGAACAATGTCCTAACTTAAAAGATAAGAAAGAAACATAATATCATTAATGTCACATGTCAATATTGATAATTATGTATACATATGTATGAAATTTGAGCACAACAATATTTCAAAATTAATAAAATGTATCTAATAGTAAATTATGGTGCAAAGGGTTTATTTCTGCAATTCAATGTCCTTGCACTAATTTTGTATAATTAAGGAATCTTTCTGATTCTCAAAAAAAGATTTCTCCGGGTGATATATTTAATGTAATAACTGGTTTTACTACATTTAATTGCATATCTGGAGTCTCTAGAAACATTACAACTAGAAAAGGTCATTTTTGTAATAAATCACTACTACATATCCATATAAATTGTTTTCACTTGTGGCAGTACATTATTTTTATAATTCTTAATTTTCTATTATGTAATATAAAAACATTAAAAACTTTCGATATTTAACACAATTTTTTCTAGTAATTTGTAACATGGGGAATGAAAAGAATATTTATCTTGAAAATAAATTGTGTGATTTATTTTTAAGACAGACATTGTGTCACTATATAGATAAAAGTACATTGACACTGTAGTAAATAATGAAAAAATTATTAATTGCAGTCATTTTATTACATGTAGATTAAAGTATATATAATATATATATTATACATATATAGGCAAAATGCGTACATGCATGCACTGAGATACGAGCACAGACACAGTCAAGCAAGAAATGACCAAACTCACTTTGACACAATCACGTACAGGCAATGATTACACACTTGTCTATTATTGTTTTTTTATTTTAGATAACTGCGTACTTTGTTTTCTCCTATAATCTCTTTTTGGCTTGCTGAGCACTTTATATTGTTACATGTTGGTGGAAATTAGTAAATGACTTTGGATTACCTCATATTTAAGTATACTACAATTGTATAATTTGTCTGTGAATTTTCCTAAAATGAAAAAAAGTAAATAAAATAAATACTATTGAATTTGTTTACAAAAACATACAATAAACAGTCATTAGCATATTTTTGTTATTATACAATAATGTGACACTGTCCTCTGTAAAGGTAGTTGTCATTAGAAACATTGACAAAAAAAGTCTAAAAAATAAACTGGCAACAATTAGCTACAAATCAAAAGTATACAAGTAATACAAGGTAACAACAAGCTGCAGTGTTATCTTATGATTATTCTCTTGCAACATTTTGATAGATTATTTCAACTAACTAACTGCTTGTCTGATTGGATAACTCACCAATTGTTAAAAAGATCAATAAAACTACGTCAATATATATAATACGTAAATACAGTTGCATGCACAGTACCTAATTAAAGATAAATGTATAAATAATTTTGAAGAGACCAATGTCAACATGACCCTATATCCTCGCTCATAAAACGATGAAGAGCGCAGGGACAACACAGTAAACAGCACGCAAGCCGAGCAAACAAACGCTACAGCATTGCGCGTACTACGGGCTAAAAATAAAACTCGTACAAAATAAAGAAGTCCTATTTTATAAACACAATACAAACATGAAAAGTTCATTACACTACCCTGATATCACCACTTCCTCCTCCCATACACCAATTAACGATAAATAACCATCCAACCTTGTGAACTCATATAAAAAGTGAATCGCTAAAAAGACAACTTACAAGTAAGATATCGATGTATTCCGCATCAAAGAAATGGCCTCATTTCAACTCTTCCCAGTCACTATTTTGCACTGAACACGAATATGGTGCTTTGTTACTCAGGTCCATTTGATCTTTAACAAAATTATTTTTGATAGAGCTTTAATTTTTACGTAAATTAGCAGCACACAGTAAAAATTTCAGTCCATTTTGACGTTTCTGACAGTCAGTAAACGGTATTGCCAGCTGATATTCCAAATTTCTATGAAATCAAATTCTAATTACTGTTGAGCAATTTTCCAACTTTCAAATAAATTTCCGAAAAATTGGAAAAAATATTTTACACGTTTATAATTCTTATAACTTCAAAAGTACTAATTTTGAAGTTTTTGAACTTAAGTTTTGTTCGCTAAATAAAACTTCAAAAAACGTATCTACTACTAAGTAGTATGTACATACATAATGTGAGCCTTCCAAACTCAGATTACAAAATATAGCTTTCAAATTAGATTTTTCCACTATTTGAAATTTTTCGGATAATTACTCACAGAAAGGGAGAATGATCAATTTTATTGACAAGAACGAATGAATTTAGATACGAAAAGGAATGAAGTGAAATGTCAAAGTCTAAAAAGTCAATCAAAAATGGTCTTGAAAAATCTGTAAATTTCAATTTTTTCAAATATGAATTGATTTCTAATGGTTTTACAAGAAGATTCTCTAATTTTTACCCAATAAAGTTTAGTTATATATAAAGTTATTTGTTTACGTAATTATTTTATGTTTTATGTACCGGTGAAGGTTATGAAATAAGTTTTTTCCCGACTTGGTGTTTATTGGTTATGTTTATAAAGGGATTTTTACGCGGAAAGTAAAGAAATTACGTAAACCATGTCGAGAATACTGCATAATCGCATCAGGTAACCGCACATATCCCGTATCTTACGAAACTGTGCAATCTTTTTTTGTCCAAAGAATATTCTTCATTTTCTTAGGTATTTCAAATATAAATCTTCTTTTATTTACAACCTAATGTAGATTCAATGAAAATTTAACAATACACGTGGAATCATCACTATTTTCAAGTGAATTTACTGGATTTATGAGGGTTTTTTATTTTTATGTTTACTTGTTTATTTCTTTACTTTAGGAGCATCCAATAAGTCAAATTGCAACTTTACTACATAACTAAATGCAAGACTACATAATTAAATGCAGAACCTAATATAACACAATAACAAGTATAAAACTTTTAGATCAACAGCATGGTTGCGGATAGACAAGCGAGCAGTTGCATTTTCTATGTGGTCAGAGCGTAGTATTTTACTTCGCAAGCCCATAGACACAAGCCATGTGCAGAAGAGAAGATACGGTATGCTTGTAGCAAGAGCACTGCGTGGTGTACTGAAAATCAGATATTTGGTATTGGGAGGTGCTGTTGGAGGAGGCATGACACTCAACAAGGTACAATGATTATTAATTTTAATTAATGAATTTGAAAAAAGTTATATTATCCTCAAATTTATCATACCCATTAAATAGTAAGTAATTTAGTTTTTCTCTCATAATCTGAACATGGTTCATTCAGTCTGAAACCTTTTAATAATTAATGCAAAATTGTTACCATTGTAAACTGTAAGGCTCAATTTAATTTGCGGGGGAACAGAATGGAAGCAAATTTTGTAACTATTATTGTACATAGCAAAATGAACTTTATGGTCAATTGTGTAACGTACAAACTAGATACTAGCCAAAATTGTCCACAGAATGTGCAAACATTCTTGAGCATGCATTTTATTATACTATGTACACAAAAATTCGTTCTCACTCCCTTCCACCAACAATATTAATTGAGCCTATGAATGTGAGTTTGGCTCTAATGATGAATGACCATGACGAGACCTGACATTTTAACATAATGTATTTAACAAAAATAAGTAAAGTGTATGTGACATCTGCAACAAAAAAATAACATCTAGTATTGATTGTATCTATTGTTATTGGTCACAAAATATTATTTGGGTCATTCCAAAATACAAAGTACATAATATAATGTCCACGGTGATGTTTTAAGCTATATAGAACAACTTATCTATTGTATTTCAGTAGCATAATAAGGACTTAAATTTCTGTGTTTCCAAAAATGTAAACACAGTAAAAATCTTGATTCATTACAAAAGGGGTCCAAGGGTTTGACACTTACAGAATATTACATATATTTGTATTAATTGTAATGTTGTGTATTACGTTGTAATCTTTTTGGAAATAAATGTATATTTTTAGTATGTTACCTCACCTTTCAACTTCCAAATTTAACACTATATGTACTAGCTGTATACAGGTGGCATATATGCTTCACTGAGCCAACTGATCATCACTCAGCCATGACTATCGGGTCAAATAATAAATTGTGAGTTATAACCTTAACCAAATACTATAATACTTTTAACAAATGAAAAGGCACCAAAAATAATGACAGTTAAATTTGACACAAATATTTTTGTATCACTGTTACCACCCAGTATGGTAGGCAGCGTCAATGATTTCTACATTTTGTTTTTGTGAAACTTCTAACACAACTGTTTTCTTTTTGAACAGAAATACTCAGAATGGAAAGATGGCCTCCCGGACATGGGGTGGCTGAATGAATTACTGCCAGACAATGAGCAATGGGACAGATTTACCACCACACTTATTTCTGCCAAAGACAAGATTGGTGACAACTTACAGATAGGTGCGTTACTTGTTCACATCTATTAGCTTTGATTGCAAATTGTAGTTAATGGTGGTCACAATAGCTCAATGTGCAGTGCTGGAGAGCGTGGTATTAGCCATCGTAATAATAAGAGCCTATATGCACACTGCATATTTTTACGCACGGTTGACATCCGTTAATGAGATTCAAACGAGATTGAGGGTCCTATTCTAGAACTCTACTCAATGCTCAAGTCAGGATTTGAGCAGACTTGAGTATGATTTCAAGCACTGGAAATACGACCTTAATGGCAAGGACTTGAGTATGATTTTCAGTGCTCACTGCAATACTCAAGTCCTAACTTGAGTATTGAGTAGAGTTCTGAAATACGACACTCAGTCACAACCTTTGCACACATTCAAACACAAATGCAGTGGCGCCGTAATCTGCGTTAAAATATGCCGTGTTACGCGCTATACGACGATACAGATGTGAATCCCCCAGTCTGCAGCCTTGCAATACGGTGTAGCCATTGTTGAACCGATTGAAATGCGCGTAAAACGCTATATGTGTATAAGTTTCAAACGCGCTTCTTGCGCACGTTGTCTAAAAAAATGCGCTGTGTATAGGCTCTATATAATGCCATCTCTTTCTTTTTTGATGTTCCGAATCGTCTTATCGTAGTATAATATTTAAGAACTTAATGTTATTTATTTATATTCAAAGATAATGCGAACACACACGCAACATAGCCCCGCACTAGGGAAACCCTGTGTCGCGGGTGCCATGGACACACACATAGACAACCACAAATTACACCCAAACTCACGAGAGAAATAACTGTAGGCCATACAAATATTTCTCCCGGCCCGGGAATCGAACCTGGGACCTCTGCGTGGCAGTCCGGCATGGTAACCGTTCGGCCATGGAGGCAGTTTTAAAGAATTAAATGTCACAAAAATACTTTTGAATTGTTATTTTACTTGACTCTAATCTGGTTTATAAGGTGACAAATGTAGAATGATTTTAGTTCAACCCGTTTTGATATCTTTGAGGTTTTGTGAATTAATCTATTTTTTTTCTGGATCTAAAATCGCGTTTTGTTCACGGCTGACTGGCCCGCTGACTAAGTCAGTCATGTCCATGTAGGTCCTAAGCCTAATAAACAGCTTGCCTACACGATTTTAGATTAAAAAAAAATTTAATCGTTTCCAGTGTGCAGCAATTGTGGAAACTTATGTATTCTGTATCTATGGGTTGTCTTATTGTCAATTTCTGCATGAGATTGTATAATTTTTGATTACATAATTTGTGAGTTGGTTGGTGAGACGGTGGTTTGTTGCGTTGACTAAACCATTATGAGTTAAATATTTGACATTGCATTATTATCCAATATACTGTACAGTCAAAGACCTTCGTTATGAGTTCCTTCAATGAATTATCTGCTGTGATGTTAGTGCCAAACACATGTCCACGTGGGCGTGTCCACTCTCGGTTCCGCTAAGCGTGAGATTCCTGGTAGGTGTCCCACTGACGCTGTCGGTGACCGTAGATCCGCAGCTGCGCGACGCGGGCCTGCAGCGCGCGCTGCAGCTGCGCGAGTGGCTGGCGCAGCGCTACGACGACGCCGTGGCCGCGGCCGCCGCCGGCAATGTAGCGCATATCGGTGAGTCCGGGGTGGGTCGGTTAGGTTCCGGGACATTAGAGATTTCAAACTTTTTCAGGTACTTTAGACTTGACAAATATTTGTAATTACATGTATATCGATGTGATTTTCTAAAATACTTTGATAAAAAAATATTCTGTTGTTGAATTCGACTGTGATCCTTGTTTGAAGGTGCTGTAATTTCGTTTAAGGATGCGGAAGGACAGTCAAATTTGTTGCGCATTAAGTTGTCCTTTTTTTTCAGATTCGTCAACAAATATAGTTAACAATTTGCAGAGCAAGCCACCGCCGCAGAACAACAGAGGCTCCGGGGATGATGCGCATGTATACGGTAATAGGGAGTCGAACAATTTTTCGGAAAGAATTTAAATTGAACCGCAACGTATATACATATATACTTAGATGTATAGTGCAAATAAAAATAATACTCTGTTTAAATAAAGATTTTAAAGTTCAAAAAATGATATTTAAATGTACTAAAAAATATAGACGGGCAAGTGGCACCACAACTCAACTCTGAACACATGTAATTGTAAGAAACTGGACATTGCGCTCTTGCCACTAACGATACACTGACGTTATTTGTTTACCAGCACTCGACGCCACGTGTTGCGTTTGCGTAACAGGGTAAACTGAATCGAGTGATCTAAAGTGGTCGTGTGGTCTCGCAGAGAAGCGCGTGCACGCGCTGCAGGAGGAAGTGCTGGCGCTGCAGGCGCGCTACCAGCGGGAGCTGCAGCGCCTGGAGCAGGAGAACCGCGAGCTGCGCCAGCAGAACATGCTGCTGCGGCAGGGGCGGCAGCCGCCGGCGCGCAAGATGAAGGTCGGTGCCGCGCGGCCGGGAGGGCCGCGGCGGGCCGGGCGTGACCGCGGTGCCTGTTGCAGCGCTCGCTGATCGACATGTACTCGGCCGTGCTGGACGAGCTGGCGGGCTGGGAGGCGGGCCCGGGCGAGGCCGACCGCCTGCCGCGCGTCGTGGTGGTGGGCGACCAGTCGGCCGGCAAGACCTCGGTGCTGGAGATGGTGGCGCAGGCGCGCATCTTCCCGCGCGGCGCCGGCGAGATGTGCACCAGGTGCGCCCCCGCCCCGCGCCCCGCCCGCCCCGCCCCGCCCCGCGACGGCTGATGAGACGTTTGTCCGCAGGGCGCCCGTCAAGGTCACGCTGTCCGAGGGGCCCTACCACGTGGCGCAGTTCCGGGACTCCGCCAGGGAGTTCGACCTCAACAAGGAATCCGACTTGGCCGATTTGAGGAAGTAAGCCTGGATTATAACTGTCGCTTGATATCGTGTTCTCGATCGATCGTAGTCTTCCCGCAACGGATACGAGTCTACTTTATTTTGTTTCGACTGAGATGCCGTAAAACCGGCTTATGTCATTATGAAGACGGTCCCCTCGGGAGTCACAAAAATGGTCAGCAAGTCCACATGTTTACCGGATATCTTAGAACCAAATACTTTATACTTGTACCCCTCTTTTATATTTTCTATAAATCGATTAATAAAGTCACAGACACTTTTCACATGTAACTACTAAAAACAGCAGTTTGAAGGACAACACTGAGTCGAAAGAACAGAATACTGATGCTACTCAGTTCTCACCTAAAGTAAATCAATCGCCTGTGTATAAATGTTATGATGACATTTATAACACATTACTGTAATACTGTATTAAATTGCCAGCCGATAGATGTTGTCATTAATGTACAGAGAAGTGGAGATGCGCATGCGCAACAGCGTCCGCGGCGGCCGAACCGTGTCCACCGAGGTGATCTCCATGTCGGTGAAGGGCCCCGGAATACACCGAATGGTTTTGGTCGATCTTCCTGGTGTTATTTCCGTAAGTACCCATATTAATAGGCTTGGAAAGATATACTAAATCATTATAAACACAAGTATTTTTTTCTAAATTAACAATGAATGGGAATAGGACCCTGTTGCGGTTAACCAACCATAAAAGAAGTGAGGATCTGTGATCGTCAGGTCTAGGCATTGGCCTAGCTTCCGTGTGCCGCCGATGGATGGGAGACGCCGGGAAAAGGAAAACGGAAATACACTAGTGGTCCTCTATATTACTAATTTCTCACATTTGAAATGACGCATTCCACAAAATTTTCCACTTTTGAAAAGTTCTCATCTATACAGGTGTTAACAAATTCTGTTCGGATATATTTAGTGCCGTCAGTTTGCATTAAAATAATTAATTTGAAATATAAATAAGATTACAATATACCACTTTTTAGTTTTATGTCGCTCTATAAAAAACAAATTTAAAATTCTGTCTAAAAATATCGACGCTAGGAAAATGACTTTTTAGCAAATATGGTGTCAGGAAAAATCTGCATTTTTTGTCTAGTAGTCGTGATGTTACGACAAAGATTTTTTGTTGCACGACGTCGATTTTTGACGATCACACAGAAAAATGCTGTAAGTAGAACTTTACATGTTAAATTTTTCGAGGCACGACAAGATTGCTTTCCAACGTCGATATTTTACTGACAAAAAGTTTAGTTATTTAGTTTTTATTAGTAAGTTTCAGTTAAGTCAAGTTATAAGCAAGTGATTTTTAAAACAATTAAGAAAAGATAACATTAAAGAGATTTAATCACTAGGCAGCATTGTTATAATAGTAGTATTGTTGTTAGAAATAAAATTATTGAGCGCTGGATATGGTTAGCATTTGGCTTGTTTTCTTAAACTTCTCTAAACACTAACTGCTACTAAAGCGATTGGAATAAGGTAAATAAAAAAGGTTGACTCTATAAGCATCCGTACTCAATTTATGAGCAACCTATATAACCGTTTATAGTTATTTTTATTTTATTTTATTAAATAACATTTCAGACTCAAACAGTGGACATGGCGGCGGACACACGAGATGCAATAAGACAAATGTCTAAGCAATACATGGAGAATCCCAACGCCATCATTCTTTGCATACAGGTAAGTAAATATACGTCCACATCTCGACACAGGTCTCCGCTATGAACTGTTAAGGTAATTGGTGAGAATGCACGAATGAAATGATCATAGCACGTGCGGATCAGTAACCTCAGCCCACCCCACAGAGACCCAAACTTGATGCTGATATTAATTACCAGGACGGATCGGTCGACGCGGAGCGCAGCAACGTTACGGACCTGGTGTCGGCCTGCGACCCCCAGGGGAAGAGGACCATCTTCGTCCTCACCAAGGTGGACTTGGCTGAAGAGAACCTTACGAATCCCAATCGGGTGAGTTGCTGACACTCACTGACGGTACTTCACCGTGCAATGTAAACGCCTTTACTGGTCATTGAAAATCAGTGCAAAGTGCGTTTTCCAGCATATACTGAGCTAGTTATCCTTTTGTTGCTTCAGCTGACACTATAACTACAGCAGCCGACTTACGGGTGGAGTTTATAAAACTAAATTTGACTTTAACTAAGCAAAGATGGCGATCTAAGCAAGCTTATTATTATTACGCTTAAACTGACTTCGAGTTTACTTTCATAATTTAATTTTATGTCTTTCATATTTAATGACTTCGATTTTCTAAACCGTTCGTGTTTAATTTTATTGTTTTGTTTGTGATTTGGTTTTGCGAGTTTTTTTTTTTATTTTTGTTCATCGTTCTCTATTTTTTTACCATTCCTTGTTTTTATGAAACTATTATGTTTTTCCTCTTCTTTAGGACGTCGTTTGTGGTAACAAATAAATATGTTTCTTTCTTATTTCTTAATAGAATACAGCTAATGCTGTACGTATATTTTTCATGTGAGCTGGCCAAATTGTCTTTTTAATTTATTTCATGACAAACATGAGGCCATACAGCCGGCCATTTCGAAATAACTTTATGAATAAGAAAGCAGTGTTGCCAACTAGACTAAAGCAAATATCACTAAACCGAAGGTCCATTTAATTGACCAGAACTTTGTGTTCACAAAACACTTCAATACTAAGATAAAAATAATATTGAATGTTAAACTATTAAATCTATCTAGGATGCTGCGAGAGGCCATTGAAATTAAAAAACATCCTAATTTCAACAGGGAAGATGGTTTCTCCGTACCACCAGTTTGGGATCCAGTATTTCCTCTAATGAAAAATCCCAAACAGACATAAGACTGCAGTACTAATTAATATGTTTTAGTTTATTCTAATTTCTATTAATAATTAATAATAAATTAAACTTAATAAAAATTCATTCAATAAAATAATTTGTAAAACTTAATGTAGCGTAAATTGGAATGTTTTCTTTGTAAAATTAAAAATAAGGTATTTAATTAATAACTATTGTAACTATAGTGAAAAAATAGGGTGGTTTGCATCAATATTAGACATAACTGGTTGAAGACTGTACCACCTCAGTCAACCGTGACCATGGGACCTGTAAAGGGCCCGAAACGTCGGTTTGTTTGAAAAAACAAATATACGCGATTTAAATCCGGAAAAATAGTTTCATTTCCTATATTAAATCTAATTAAATACGCGCCCAAAAAATAGCAAATTTTTTGCCGTTAAATAGAAGTAAAAAAGACGCTTTTGATGTCAAAATGTCACATAAAAGGACGAAGTCGCTAAGTTGGCAACTCTGTAGAAAGAGAGAATAGATATGCGCGCGACGCGTCGTACATCGTTGATTATTAAATAAGTAAATATTAGAAAGACAATTATAATAAAGAAATAGGTTTCGCAATAATCGTCTTGTCTGGTATAAGTACCATGAGCAATCCAAAAGTAAAAGTAAGTTAATTGCGGGTCGTTTAATGAATTGTAATAAATAATCAAAGTTAGCAAAGTGATAATCGATACTCAAAAATAAGATAACGAACCGTGAAGGTGTTCTGCAGACTTCTGAGAACCGATTTATTTATTTTTACATTACATTTATTGAAATTTCAACTACTCAACTTAACTTCACAGAAAATTTACTTTTAAATGATGGTCTCATTAAAACGAATTCTTCATTTTAAAGTTAGTAAATTCTTGAAGTGCAAATTAAAAGTATTTCTAAATGCATTGAAAAATAGATCAGTACAAAAAAGCAGATTTCCCGGTTACGCTATCAAAAACAAATAACAGGTAAGAAGTGCAACTGTAGCAGTGATAAGTCACGTGATTGATTGCCTTAATTTACTATTTTACGTTAGGGCCAAATTAAGGGTTACGAGACTGTAATTTGAGTGCTCGGCATGTTGTGGAACGTGTTTACTTAATTTAGTTATGTTCTTATGACGCAGACAATATGAGTCGAATTGCTGACAGGGTAATTTAGAAAGCTTTACTTTTCTTAAGTGGTCGTAGGTAGCTTATGACAACGCACAGTTTAGAAACAATGTCTCCCGAAGATTCATTGACGTGTTGGTCGGTCAAAGAAAGCGACTAACGGGGTGCCGCTCAACGGCGGAGGTCGACGATTCGTACCTCCCGGCACGAGTTTCGGAGCGAACCTTTGTCGTTGAACAAGTCGGTCGTCCTGCGCCCCGGTACAGTGCTGTAACTGTCACGGCAGATCCGGCGCATCCTGGAGGGCAAGCTGTTCCCCATGAAGGCGCTGGGCTACTACGCCGTGGTGACGGGCCGCAGCCGCAAGGACGACTCCATCCAGAGCATCCGCGAGTACGAGGAGCGCTTCTTCCGCGGCTCGCGCCTGGTGAAGGACGGGCTGGTGACGCCGGCGCAGGTCACGACGCGCAACCTGTCGCTGGCCGTGGCCGACTGCTTCTGGCGCATGGTGCGCGCCTCGGTGGAGCAGCAGGCCGACGCCTTCAAGGCCATGCGCTTCAACCTGGAGACGGAGTGGAAGAACACCTTCCCCAGGTACCTTCGACTTCCCGACGCTCCGCCGCGAAGGCCGTTTCAGTAGAGCTTGCTTGTTCATGCTCGGATTATGAAAATTACTTTTCACTAATATTCTAGAAAAACATCAAATTGTACTACAAATATTTCAACGAAACGCCAAACGTTCTCCGGAGTCACTATTATAACGAGTGACAACGTTCTAATTAAAGGGCTCATCGAGGACTTTCATTGAAGGTAAAACTTTCATGGCGAACAATGTCACATACGTAGCTCTGACTCCAAAATAAATTGCTCAAGCACGTCTTGTGTTATAGAAATTGTCACTACATCGGCACTATAAACACCTATACCCGAGACAAATAAGTTTTCTACATTGACCCGGCCGGGGATCGAACCCGGGGCGTTAAAAATAGCGCCACCATGAAAACCGATGCGAAAGCCACTCGACCACAGAGGCTGTCAACACAAAACTTTTATCACGTTATCATGTCACTTCGACATTTGTACATATTTCATACTTCATTATAACCTATTCGCTTACCTCGCAGGCCATTTTCCGTCTTACATTCTTGTCGTTAAGAGTCTATACTACTTCAAATGGCTTCGGTTGATTCCGCATTACAATGAATGTGTTGAATGAACTGCTTTGGAAAAAATATATGATAAAATTTAGGATATACACTGATTCCTATACGGTGTTGAAACACGATTCCTAAAAACGGAAAAAAGACACATCCTTATCTCGAAATTGTACAAGAAAACCGCTGTATTGAATAGGTACTTTACATACACCAATGATGCTTTTTTAATATGTAAAAAAATTGTAAAATAGACCACGTGTCGTATACTATACGATATACATTTTTCAAATGGCTTCAATTTAGTTTGTAAAAAAATTAATTCTGAAATAAAGTCAGTGTCCTGCCGCTCGACCTAAGCAAGTAGTAGGGGAAGAATTTGAATTCGAGCTGAAATATCGACTCTTAATAATTAAAATTCCTGAGCTTGGCAAAAAATATGACGCGCCGTTGCACAATTTGATTTGGGCGCTTTAGTGATTGAGGTGTCAAGTGTTTGCGCATGTAATCATTCCTACTATAGTTTGTACTTAAGTGGCATGTCAATCATCGTCATCTACCCATTTATACGTCCCACTGCTGGGCACGGGCCTCCTCTCAGATGAGGGTTTAGGCTATAGACCGCTACGCGGTTTTTCGGGAGTTGTGAACCTTTTTCAACGCGCACCTTTCATCAAAACATTTTTCCTTCACAGAAAAGCTCATGGTACATTTCAAATTAAATTCCGCACGCAAATTCCGAGAGCAAAACTCAGAGGCGCGAGCGCGGTCAAAACATTAGGCTACCACGGCTTTCGGCGCGGCGGACTGAAACAATCAAAGACAATAATGTAATTTATAAAATTTGAAATTGAGACATAATTACATTTTGTCAATTATTGCTTTTATGTTTATTTTAGTAATATGCATTTTTAATGAAAAATAAATAATATAAATTGCGTTACAATATTATACTACTTCACATTAAAACTGATATTAAAAGTCAGTGCAAAATAATTATATTTAAGAACTTCATAATTTCAAAAATACGAAACATCAATTTCCATTGAAATCTATAACAAAAATCTACAGTTTAAAAAAAATGCTAATTTTAGGCGTTACTTTCAGCCATTTTGTTTTAAATTTTTCAAATATTTTACATCGGAATACGTTGTCGCGTTCCATACTCTCGAATATATTCTTCAATTTTGGTGTTGTTTAGTTAATTCGCTTTATTGATTTTGGCGTTGATTTGTTTTTATTAATTTTTCAGAAGTAAGTATTTTTAGGTTCGGCGACTTCTGTATTTCTTTTTTTCAATTCTGAGTAATTATAATATAACGTTTTTTGTTTGAAAAAAAAAATAAAGACAAATATTTCATTAATATGCTTTGAAACGTTTGATACTAATGTAACGGTAATGCTATCAAAAATTGTTTCAAAGTTTACAATACTTTCGCACGTTATTAAAATTATTGCAATGCATCGTTTTCTCAAATTACGTATACAATGGTAGGAAAGGGTAAACGGTCGCTATTGATGTGGGGACTGCCACTTATACTCAATACTTATTCGGCAAGTGGTCCGATTTACGGTTTCTATATGTCGGTTGTTATGTTCCGTAAAATTGAGCTCGACGAGGACGACAGGTAGATAAAATTAGGAAGGCGTTCCGTAGCAGAGCCCTAAACTTTTTTATACCACATATCATGTAAGTCTTGGGAAAGGGACAAGTCGAAACGCAGAGTCGATCGACTTGTTGGTAATTGTTGAAATGATCGAATGGCTTAAAACGTTCGCAGTCCGTTTCGATACCTTTCCCACCGTCGCCCTTAACACGGCGTCGGTCCCGGCTTCCGCCGAGGCCCGCCAGTGGCCGGAGCGGCCGGAGTGACCTCGGGTCGGCCTCAGGCAGCGCGAGCTGGACCGCGACGAGCTGTTCGAGCGCGCGCGCGCCGAGCTGCTGGACCAGTCGGCCGAGCTGTCGGCCGTGCCGGCGCCCGCCTGGGAGGCGCGGCTGCAGGCGGCGCTGTGGGCCGCGGCCCAAGACAAGGTGTTCGGCGGCATCTACCTGCCCGCCGCGGCGCAGGCGCACGACGACGTGGGTGAGCGCCCGCCCTCCGCGACCCCCTGCCGCCCCTCCCGCCCCGCCTCACGCTCCCGCCCCCGCCCTTGCAGCGCGCTGCCTGGCCGTGCACCGCCTCAAGTACCAGCCGCCCGCCGGCCCCGCCGGCCCCGCCGCCACCGTCTGGCTGGACGCGTTCAACTTCGACACCAGTGAGACGTCCGCACCACTAAATAGCGTGTAGAATCTCGTATTCGATCGTTAGACGAAGTCGAGTCGCCTTGACTTTGAGTAGTCTTAGTTGTTCCGTTTTCGCACATCATCTAAGCTCGTACTGGACTACCGACCTCCGGTGAACAAATTGACGTTAATTTCGACGTGAATGATGCACGATCGCGTGGCACCGCGTCACGCCTTTAGAGATACTAAACAGATATATACACTAAAAGCATTGACTTACAATTAGATGGACATCGGGTCCGCGCTAAAAAGTGTCCGAACTTATAGGGCGTTAAAATCGTATACCGAGCGTCATTCACGCTTTAGTCTTCGTTTGTTCGACTGACAGCGAAGCAAGCAAAATTAGACAGTACTGCGATGACATTACAATTTAAATTCAACGTTTTAGCTTTTTCATATTCCTTTACATGTCACTACGTTTAAACAGGTTGACTTGGGACATTTTTTTCGTGGTTTTTGTATTAGACCCGTCGTCCATTTATTTGTAAGTCAATAACTAAAAGAGAATAAGGTGGATGCGGATTGTCCTCAGTATTGTTCAATTAGTAGGAAAGCAAGGTAATCATAAATCAACAGTCTAATTTATAGACTTTAGTAGCGCCATTTATGGGAAAAGTTTGAAACCTAGCAACTAAATGAATGACAATTTTGATAATTTCGAAATAAAAAAACACGGGACGTGATTAAAATTAAAAGACTGGTAAGTTTTTTCTGATTGGCCGTTCATGTCTTATCTGCACTATTGGACGCAAGGTAACGAGCTCCTAATTCCTATAGTAGATAAAGCAGCTTGAGGTCCAACGTCCGGTATACATCATTAGACTAGAGTCATCTCGGGTAGCCACGTTATGTAATGTACGAGCTAGCGTGCCGGATCGTCTCGTCGCAAACAGACGGCACTGACGACCGGCCCGCGCGTGCCTCGTCCCCAGACAAGTTCAACACCTCCGTGGACATAAAGCTGCGCGAGTGGGCGGAGACGGAGCTGCCGCTGCAGTCCATCCACGCGGGCCGCGAGGCGCTGCGGGAGGAGTTCAGCGAGCTGATGGCGAAGGCCTCGGAGACCGACCCGGAGTACGAGCCCGTGAAGAAGGAGGCGATGGCGGAGGCGCTGCGGAGGCACCGCTGGGAGGAGCGCGCGCAGGACGTGAGTGCAGCCGCGGCCGTCGCGAGGCCGGCCTCGCCCGCCGCTGACGGAGGCCCGTGCAGGTGCTGCGCGTGCTGCAGCTGAACGCGCTGCAGGACCGCTGCGTGGCGTCGCGCGCCGACTGGGACGGCGCCGTGCAGCTCATGGACGCGGCGCTCAAGCAGCGCCTGGCGCAGGTGGACGCCGACCTCCGCGCGCTCACGGGTGAGATGCCCTTCCGTGGCCGTGGCCGGTGGGCGGCCGCCGTGGCGTCGCGGCCGCGAACGGCCCGGCTCGTTTTCAAACATTTTCGCACGTCTGCAGTCGCTTTACCTACGGCAATTGAGCGCTTTCGCGCGAAACACTTTGGTGTATACAAAGATGACGGGAGCATTTTTAACACAGCTCGATACGCGAGGGTAATATTAGAAATACGTAAATAATTACTAGTATAATGTAAAATATGTTAAAACTGAAACTACAGAAACCCGATATTCCTTTTCATCGTTTCCGCGGCGATGATTAAACGACGAAGATAACTATATACGCAATTTCATATCGTTATCCTTGGCTCCAAAATGTGTAACAGTAGTACATCACCTTAGAGACTCGACACTCGCATAAAACAATAATGGCAACGCGGCCAGGACAAGTGCCCGTGTCACAGTGCGGCGCGGTGCCCCCAGGTCCCGGGTTCCGGGAGCGCTGGCTGTACTGGCAGTCCACGTCCGAGGAGCAGCAGCGCCGCGCCGAGGTGCGCAACGAGCTGGAACGCCTGGGCTCCAGCAGGCCCGCGCTGTCCTACGACGAGGTGGTGGCCGTGCGGGACAACCTGCGCCGGAAGGGCTTCGACGTCGACAACGACTACATCCGGGACACCTGGAAGCCGGTTTATTTGAAGCAAGTGTCGCTCGCTCTTTGGTAGTAGTAACGGGGGCAGTCGCTTCACGGGGACCTGCGCTTAGGCGGTGAGAAAGACACCCTTCCAATGAAACGTGGACGCACGCCGTATTTCGGGGATGTTTCTAGAAAATAATATTTGTTATCCATTTTCATCCATCCACTCGCACGGATATATAACCAGAAATAAAAATAACAAAAAATACTAAATAAAAAAATTACTTGATCTTTGTTTTCTGCATAAACTATTTAATGGTCAAATAGGTTGTAAACAAATCATTGATAAAGTGGATCTCGCTGTTCCGAGTCGTCTACCAAGATATAAAATAAAAAAAATATTCCATATCCCGCATTGTAGAACTAATCTCGCTCTAAACTCCCCAGTTTTACGCTTATGCAGAGAATTTAATGCAATTAATAGTGATGTTATTGAAACAGATATTTTTAATGACACATATTATAACCAATTCAAACAAAAAATTACTGAATTTCAGTGATTTTTTTTTGTGTATTGCAAGGATAAAAAGTTTCAATGTTGTATTTTTTCCAAATTCACATTTATTTTTAATTTTTATTGTGTACATGGCAACTCATGTGCTATGTTGAGAGGATTGTACTTTGCTGTTTTTTTGTTTATTTCTGTTCCTTACTTGTTACTCTGATGTCATAATTAAGAATGCCGAGTTTCCCTGTTACTGGGATATATACATTAACATAGATATTAAATTTTATATTGTATTGAATATTGTATATGTTCTATTGGATACCAAATAAATAAAATAAAATAAAACAAGGGCCATCAGCGCCTGGCAACACATCAGGCAAATGGGCCTTACATCTGTTTTAAACATCAACTCTCGTTTGCGCTGACATCACAAATTAGAAAGCTGAAATAGTACAGCGCTAACAACTGACCTGTGTGTACGTCTCCATATATTCCAAAAATATTCTGTATTTATTGGAACAAAGATAATATCTCTAACTATGGGTGGCTGTTCCATTCGGTGGTGTGGGAAAAACAGCAAAACAACTAATCACAAAACAAACGGAGTCACATTTCATCGGTTATTAAATATTAAGTAGCAAAATTTTCGTCTATTATAGCAAAGCTCAAGTTAAACTGGTAGATTTGAATTCGGGCTGGCCAATCGGAGCGCAGTTGTCACTGTAATGATTTGGCAGAATAGTTTTCAAACAAATGAAATGACATTCGTCTCTATTCTGGTTATATACTCGATGTCCACTTATTAGTTAAGGGGAAAATACTTAGTTCATGTGTTCATAGACTCCGGCACTGATATTTCCTTTATCTTCATTAATAAAAAAAGTTTATTTTTTTGTAATCTACGCATTGTATGTTCAATATTGGTGAGTAGCATTCATCTTAGAACATTAAGTCAATCCACAACGAAATTCGAAATCGTTACATCACAAAATAAACGTAAAACTGGAACAATATAGTAGGTCGACCATACAAACGTAATAAGTTACATTGTTTACAGAAATTTCCTGCAGCGAGCACAAACACGAGCACGGGACTGCAAAAAGAGTTTCTATCTCTACAGCCAACAAAACGGAAACGGCGTAAGTATACAGGCTGTTCAAGAAATGTCTACATTTCTATGAAACGACTTTATCCATGATGCCGAATGACTACAATGAGAAACTTATAGAAATCGCTCCTCGTTATTTTATAAAGAGACACGCCAAGTCCAAGTGCCCCGAACCCAATATGTAGTGTTGGATCATGGAAAATTTTCTATTTTGTGTCATCATGTGATCATGTATTTAGTAAATATTTTTCCGAATTTTTTTTTCTATATTTTTCCACATTTGGCAATTGACAGCTGTCAAAAATTGAAAATACTGAACGAGATCTTTATTCGGGACGTCCTCATTTAGCGCCTACAGTAATAACGGATTGTTCCATGCAAAACAAAAAGAATGAAGTATAAGTTCCGTAGAGAACGTAATGAGTCACACCCCTTGTTCGGACTTTGGCAGAAGGAGTGCTGCGAAGTGGTGATGTTCTGGCGCGTGCAGCAGACGCTGCGCACCACGGCCAACGCGCTGCGGCAGCAGATCGGCAACCGCGAGGCGGCCAGGCTCGACAGGGAGCTGCGGGAAGTCCTGGACGAGGTCACTGGTTCACGTACTAGTCCGTAGTTTTTCAAAAGGGCGCTGAAGAGTCCTAGTGTCCTGTAACTAAACTAAATACACTTTTTTTCCTTGTGAATTAATTTTTGTGTTAAGTTAATATAAAAAATAAGTGTTTTCAATCATGCTTTTGGTGGTGGGCCTTGAAATGTTTTTATCTTGCCTTAATGGGCGGTGAGCCATAAACTTTCGGAACCTATGTACTAATCCATACAAAAATACCTGACCATTTCATTTAAATCTACCGTATATCGATAGTTTAAATTGCATTCGTATATATTCCACTATCAAAGCATATAGCCGGAAGCCTGCACCACGGAATCATGTAATAATTATCACTTGTTAATGAGAGTAAAAGAAAACATTGTAATGAAACCTGCGTATCCAAGAAGGTCGACATGACGTGTGATGATTGACAAATTACAATTTTTTTACCCAAGAGCCTTCACATAACAAATCACCTAATGTAACGCAACCCACTGAGTCTTGCTAGTTTCATTATATACCTGTATAAAAAGGTGCCAGAAATACTGAATAAATTTTCTTATTTTCAGATGTCTGCGGACCCAGAATTAAAAAAGAAACTACTATCGGGCAGAAGAGTAGAATTAGCCGAAGAACTCAGTAAGTACAGTGCTTCTACTTTCGCAATGTCTCTCGGCAAACTTCGTGTTTCGGCAGTCGTCGGGTTTTATTCAGTTGCCCTTTGCCTTTGGTACTGACTGGACGCTTTCGTCGACGTCGAGTCGGCTTGGTAGTATATAGAGTTGCTATTACATTTTTGATTTATTATCCAATGGCAGAAAAGCCGCTAAAGTCACAGCCACGACAGATAGTTTACAGCGTGTACTTGTATTTTTTACAAGAAGCTGGTACGTTCAAGAAAAAACAATGGTTATTTTCCAAAAGTCCAAAAAGGTGTGAACAGTAAAGAATATTTTAAAAGAATATGATAAAAAAAGATAAATCAGTTCCCTTTTTTTGCCGTATATTTTTGTTAACTTGCTTATTGACATGCAGTAAATGTTATTAAAAATAGTTCCATATCCGTGTGCCTTCGGAAATCCGAGGATTGCCAAGGGCCATTGAGAAAATAGAAGCACTGTAATTACTAATTAGTAATCATTAGTAGACGCCATGTTCACGATTGAACATCAAAATGTTAAAGGCACTTCCAATAAACTACCGGATGACCGTATGCCTAACATAATAAGTATAAATAACGAATAAATTAACGTAGCGAATAACTTAATAAATCATTGTCGTCGAGAAATGTAAGTCCGATCCCAACTTATATCCGATTAACTTGTAATTTTCTGTCTTTCAGAACGTGTACGACAAGTTCAAGAAAAACTAGAAGAGTTTATTGAAGCATTAAACAAAGAGAAATAGATAGTAAACCACAGTCGTATTGTTACTTATCTACAATCTGATACTGAGAAAAAAATTTACGCTATATATTTGTCGAATTATTTTGTCAGCGTGACGCGAACTTGTAAATGTTTTCGACTGTATCCGATCGGTCTTGTGTGTTTGTGTCTTAGGATGAGAAAGATTGCTACATGTTTGAGATATGACACAATTTTACCTAATGAAATGCTTTGGCCCTTTCAGGGCGTCGTAAAGGTCAAGTACCGGTGGTCCGATGACGTCATCAGCCTGTTATTTTGAGATAAAAAAGATAGCTACTGTTTTATATCGTTTAGATTGCATGTATACAGGATTTTTAAGATTTTTTTTACCACTAACTTTCATTTGAGAGATTATAAGGTGTCATCGATGTACACGTCATTTTGACACTATTGCGTTATGCGAGTGCTGTGACCGCCTCAAGTTTTGCAGCGAGACCCATATTCATTGCTTGGTTTGTGAAGGTCTCCTAAACAATTTTACGAGGCTATGAATAAATGCTGATGACGTCATCGGACTTTGCCCTATTAAAGCGGTCTCATGCGCGTTTACCTTAATGCGTTTATTATAATTTATTATTCTATATGAACTAGTCTCTACATGTTGATGAAACAATTTTTGTTACATATTTTTTCTAGTTTCCATTTTAGTAGATCTCGGTAATTGGTGTTAAAAGTTGTCATGAAGACAGTAGACCCTTTCAGCAATAATTTTGTGGACCCATTAGAACAAATGTAAAATGAAATAAATTGTACAGATACCACAAAATTTCATCGAATCTTTTGTGGATTTACATTCTTGTAGATAGAGATTTAAATTTTTTTCAAACAAAACCACAACGCCGATTGGTATAAAAAAGTGAACCTGTACATTGTAGTGTTTAACTTAACCAAAAGTATTTATGTATAGCTACAAAATGCACTTCACTACGTTGTATTATTTTGTTACTATTTAACTGCTTGATCTAAGTTATCTTTTAATAAAACGTTGCATTAAAGATTTAATGTTTTTTATTTGTAGTAAAAACTAAGAAGTGTATTGCAGTATACAATTTTGACCTTAATAATAATATGAAGCTTTTCAGTAGAAGGCAAAATGCCGAATCTTTCTATTGTCGTGATGGACAATTCTAAATTTTTGTTATTCTATCATTGTAAGATTAAAAGTTTTCAACACCAGACAATTAAGCTTTCAGAAGGTGGTATTCTTCTATACATTAGTACATTGGTTTTCAACATTGGTTAAAAACATTGTGAAATCGGGTCAAACCAAATTTACTTGAAGGACTGCACAGACAAAGCAATCATGGAAATTTAAACAAACGTTTGTTTAATATGGCTATATGCACTTTATTAGAATTTTACAAAGACAAAAAAATACATTAATTTTGGATACACAGTTTAACACACAGGTTTTCAACGCAACGTGTGTAACGATAAAAGTACATTAAAGTAGCTATTTCAAATTAGAGT